GTTTATTTCAGCAAACTTAACATGTGTAAATATTTGTATGAACATAACAAGATTCAACAACTGAGACATAAACTGAACAAGTGTCACGCCCTGGCTCTGGGGACACTGTTATGTTGAGCCAGGGTTTGTAATTCTATGTTTGTATTTCTATGTTGGCCTGAGTGACTCCCAATCAGAGGCAACGAGTGTCAGCTGGTTGTCTCTGATTGGGAGCCATATTTAACTCTTTGTCTTTCACTTTGTGTTTGTGGTTTCTTGTTCTTATTTGGTTTTGTGTTAAACCGTAGACATCACGTTATCGTCTGTTGTTTTGATCGTGTGATCAGTATAATAATAAATATGTTCACCTTCAACGCTGCGCCTTGGTCTCTCCCTGACGATCGTGACAGAAGAAACCACCAAGATGTGACCAAGCAGCGTGTCCAGGAGCCATCGCCAGGGAGATCTCTAACAGATCTCCTTCGCCTCCTCGACTGGGTCAAGCCGGATGAGGAGGAGAGGGGCTTGACATTGTGGCAGAAGGGTGAACGGCTGGCGAGGGACATGGAGACCTTGGCCACGGGTAGGAGTGAAGCCCAGAACATTTTTAGGGGGGGGCTAACGCCGTGGACGACGGGCCAGCAGGAGACCGCGGCAGAGCGGCCCAGCGGATTGGCAGAGGAGGCCGCCAGGTTACGGGGACCACTGGTCGAAGAGGGGGTGGAAGATGTAGAGGCACGGCGAGAGGTACTGGCATGTGTTGCCAGTCCGGTCCGGCCTGTTCCTGATCCCCACTTAGGGCCAGTGGTGTGTGTTCCCAGTACGGTCCGGCCTGTTCCTGCCACTCGCACCAAGTCTACGGTGCGCATCGCCAGCTCGGCCCGGCCCATTCCTGCTCCCCGCACCAAGTCAGTGGTGCGTTTCGTCAGCCCTGTCCGGCCCGTTCCTGCTCTCCGCACCAAGTCTGTGGTGCGCGTCGCCAGCCCAGTCCGGCCCATTCCTGCTCCCCGCACCAAGTCTGTGGTGCGTTTCGTCAGCCCTGTCCGGCCCGTTCCTGCTCTCCGCACCAAGTCTGTGGTGCGCGTCGCCAGCCCAGTCCGGCCCGTTCCTGCTCTCCGCACCAAGTCTGTGGTGCGTTTCGTCAGCCCTGTCCGGCCCGTTCCTGCTCTCCGCACCAAGTCTGTGGTGCGCGTCGCCAGCCCAGTCCGGCCCGTTCCTGCTCTCCGCACCAAGTCTGTGGTGCGCGTCGCCAGCCCAGTCCGGCCCGCTCCTGCTCCCCACACCAAGCCAGTGGTGTGCGTCGTCAGTCCAGCACGGCCCGTGCCTGTTCCCCACACCAAGCCAGTGGTGTGCGTCGTCGGTCCGGCACGGCCCGTGCCTGTTCCACTGGTGTCTGGTCCGGCACCGGTCAGATGCGTTACGCCGGAGCTAGAGCAATCCGCTCCATCAGTGTGCAGTCCAGCTCCGGCCAGCGGGGCCAGACCGGACCAGGGGTACTTTGGGGGGTTGGAGAGGGAGTGGGGATCAGGCCCGCCAAGGCGGAGTGCCCACCCGGTCCCTCCCCTGTGGTATTTAGTTGGCGCGGTCGGAGTCCGCGCCTTTAGGGGGGGGGGGGGTACTATCACGCCCTGGCTCTGGGGACACTGTTATGTTGAGCCAGGGTTTGTAATTCTATGTTTGTATTTCTATGTTGGCCTGAGTGACTCCCAATCAGAGGCAACGAGTGTCAGCTGGTTGTCTCTGATTGGGAGCCATATTTAACTGTCTGTCTTTCACTTTGTGTTTGTGGTTTCTTGTTCTTATTTGGTTTTGTGTTAAACCGTAGACATCACGTTATCGTCTGTTGTTTTGATCGTGTGATCAGTATAATAATAAATATGTTCACCTTCAACGCTGCGCCTTGGTCTCTCCCTGACGATCGTGACAACAAGTTCCACAAACATGTGACTAACAGAAATGGGCTAATGTGTCCCTGAACAAAGGGGGGGTCAAAATCAAAAGCAACAGTCAGTATCTGGTGTGGCCACCAGCTGCATTAAGTACAGCAGTGCATCTCCTCCTCATGGACTGCACCAGATTTGCCAGTTCTTGCCTGTGAGATGTTACCCCACTCTTCCACCAAGGCACCTGCAAGTACCCAGACATTTCTGGGGGGAATGGCCCTAACCCTCACCCTCCGACCCAACAGGTCCCAGACGTGCTCAATGGGATTGAGATCCGGGCTCTTCGCTGGCCATGGCAGAACACTGACATTCTTGCAGGAAATCACGCACAGAACGAGCAGTATGGCTGGTGGCATTTGTCATGCTGGAGGGTCATGTCAGGATGAGCCTGCAGGAAGGGTACCACATGAGGGAGGAGGATGTCTCCCCTGTTACGCACAGCGTTGAGATTGCCTGCAATGACAACAAGCTCAGTCCGATGATGCTGTGACACACCGCCCCAGACCTTGACGGACCCTCCACCTCCAAATCGATCCCGCTCCAGAGTACAGGCCTCGGTGTAATCCTCATTCCTTCGACGATAAATGCGAATCCGACCATCATCCTTGGTGAGACAAAACCGCGACTCGTCAGTGAAGAGCACTTTTTGCCAGTCCTGTCTGGTCCAACGACGGTGGGTTTGTGCCCATAGGCGACGTTGTTGCCGGTGATGTCTGGTGAGGACCTGCCTTACAACAGGCCTACAAGCCCTCAGTCCAGCCTCTCTCAGCCTATTGCGGACAGTCTGAGCACTGATGGAGGGATTGTGCGTTCCTGGTGTAACTCGGGCAGTTGTTGTAGCCATCCTGTACCTGTCCTGCAGGTGTGATGTTCGGATGTACCGATCCTGTGCAGGTGTTGTTACACGTGGTCTGCCACTGCGAGGACGATCAGCTGTCCATCCTGTCTCTCTGTAGCGCTGTCTTAGGCATCCCACAGTATGGACATTGCAATTTATTGCCCTGGCCACATCTTCAGTCCTCATGCCTCCTTGCAGCATACATTTACATTTACGTCATTTAGCAGACGCTCTTATCCAGAGCGACTTACAAATTGGTGCATTCAACTTATGATAGCCAGTGTGACAACCACTTTTTTTATGGGGGGTGGGGTAGAAGGATTACTTTTATACTATTCCAGGTATTCCTTAAAGAGGTAGGGTTTCAAGTGTCTCCGGAAGGTGGTCAGTGACTCTGCTGTCCTGGCGTCGTGGGGGAGCTTGTTCCAACATTAGGGTGCCAGAGCAGCGAATAGCTTTGACTGGGCTGAGCGGGAACTGTGCTTCCGTAGAGGTAGGGGGTTAGCAGGCCAGAGGTGGATGAACATAGTGCCCTCGTTTGGGTGTAGGGTCTGATCAGAGCCTGAAGGTAAGGAGGTGCCGTTCCCCTCACAGCTCCGTAGGCAAGCACCATGGTCTTGTAGTAGATGCGAGCCTCAACTGGAAGCCAGTGGAGTGTGCGGAGGAGCAGGGTGACATGAGAAAACTTGGGAAGGTTGAACACCAGACGGCTGCAGCGTTCTGGATAAGTTGTAGGGGTTTAATGGCACAGGCAGGGAGCCCAGCCAACAGCGAGTTGCAGTAGTCCAGACGGGAGATGACAAGTGCCTGGATTAGGACCTGTGTCGCTTTCTGTGTAAGGTAGGGTCATACTTTGCGAATGTTGTAGAGCATGAACCTGCAGGATTGGGTCACCGCTTTGATGTTAGTGGAGACCGACAGGGTGTTTTCCAGGGTCATGCCAAGGTTCTTTGCACTCTGGGAGGAGGACACAATGGAGTTGTCAACCGTGATGGCGAGATCATGGAGCGGGCAGTCCTTCCCCGGGAGGAAGAGCAGCTCCGCATACCTAAGGCACGTTCACGCAGATGTGATGTTCAGATGTACCGATCCTGTGCAGGTGTTGTTACACGTGGTCTGCCACTGCGAGGACAATCAGCTGTCCGTCCTGTCTCCCTGTAGCGCTGTCTTAGGCGTCTCACAGTACGGACATTGCAATTTATTGCCCTGGCCACATCTACAGTCCTCATGCCTCCTTACAGCATGCCTAAGGCACGTTCACGCAGATGAGCAGGGACCCTGGGCATCTTTCTTTTGTTGTTTTTCAGAGTCAGTAGAAATGCCTCTTTAGTGTCCTAGGTTTTCATAACTGTGACCTTAATTGCATACCGTCTGTAAGCTGTTAGTGTCTTAACGACCGTTCCACAGGTGCATGTTCATTAATTGTTTATGGTTCATTGAACAAGCATGGGAAACTGTGTTTAAACCCTTTACAATGAAGATCTGTGAAGTTATTTTTATTTTTACGAATTATCTTTGAAAGACAGGGTCCTGAAAAAGGGACGTTTATTTTTTTGCTTTTTTTTTGTTTATTTGAGTGTAGGCAGTTAGAAAATAAACTGATGGGTGCATACCACCACCTACTGTGCTGGAGTGTGTAAGGTCTGAACACATTCAAGGTTGGTGATTTACTGCCACCTGCAGTTATGTGGGATGTGTGAAACTTGCACCACCGAACAGCTAGCTTTTTGCATGGCGCAACTGGTAAAACGCTTCGGGAGGGCGTCACATGTACTAGCAAAGCAGAGATCCTGGGTTCGAGCCTTGGTGTGAGCCGAATCAGGAGTAAGTGGTACTCGCTAAGCAAGCAGTGTGATGTCGTTTACACTTGCAACCACACATTAAAAAAACAAACTATAAAATAAGCCCCAAAAAAATATGTATTAGCAAGTTAAACGGGGAGACTATGCCAGTTGGCTAGGCCTACAGTTCTGCAGTTCTCGTCATCCCCATTGTCTTACATCAGATGGCGCGAGTTTCGTCTGCATTGGTCGAGGGACTAGCATCGCGTAGGAGTGACGCCACCTGTTGGAAGACAATGGCTTGGATTAAGTCCAGGCGTGTTGTAGTGCAGGCACTAAACAGCGGTCAATGTGCCTTTTAAAGGTAATTTACGCTTGAGCCAACATTTGCAGTGTTTACCATGAATGCGAGCTCCGCGAACGCTGGGATAACTGTCGGCTGTCTAGTGTGCTGCTCTATAACTCGCCTTGGATTGAATCCCAGCCATGCTTCGTTCCTTCTCCCTTCAATCACCCAGGCCATTGTGAGACCCCTTTAGATACACTTCATCCTGTGACAGGTGCCCGTCGTAAGCCTCCATGTAAAGACTGCTAGTGCTGCTGCCACTGCTGCCCAGGAAGGTGCCCACGGACCGACCTTGGCGCGCATGGCCCACAGCATCACTAAACACTTTGTTGATCTGCTCCTCGGAAGGCATCCACCAGTCAGGGTTGGAGGCACAGTGCATTCGGATAAACTCTGAGGAGTAAAACGGAGACAAGTAAATATCTGTTATGATTAGAAAAACAAATGTTTTTTATGAATAATCATCACTGCAAACAATTAGATTTTGAAGACATCTGTTCACACATTTCTTTGGGAGTGTTCATGTTGCTGTAGTAGATATACTGTACCTTCAGTAGCATACCAGTTGTTTTTTAACCCTGCTCTTTAACCCTAAAAGCATCCCAAGGGGTCAAAAATGTCATAATTCCGAACCCCTTTTTGTTATCCTTCTGACCAACAAAAAAAACAACATTTACCATAATTTCTGTTTTAATGTGGAGGAATGAAAAATAATCTCTCTTTTGTATGCTAGTGGTGTATACTAAGCTTGTAACTCAAAATTATATATTTTATATCAGAGTTGTGTCTGTTGTTCACACGCGTATCTGCCCTCTCATTGGCTAGAATGTTCCCACCTGATCTTGCCTCCTCCTGCCTGCCTTCCACCATTGTGGACAACGACTGCCATTGTTAGGGCGGAGACACAAGCATTTCGTCATTATATCCACAATCTCTGCCTATATCATCCATATCGGTGGCCTTCTTAGGTCGTACCAGTATGTCAGATTAGCTCAATTGCCAGTTTCTCAGCCTCTGAGTATCACAGAAAAAAAAAACTTTGAATTACAGTTTTTCTCCATTGGTTTGGCTCATTTCTTGAAACAGAAATTACATTCTCAAAACTACATGGACAAACCTCCAAACCACTTGGCAATTGTTCACAACAGAATTGAATTTGTCATTCATTTCATCAAATTGCAAATGTCTAAGTACATGTCTCAATGTCTCAGTACATCTTTGCAAATGATTAAGTACAGGTAGCCTACATTTAGCACAATTTCCAAGTGAATAGATCTTGTTGATCTAAACTGATTGTTGATTCTCAGTCTAATGGTTGTTCGCTCCAAAACGTGTCAGCGTCATTTCATTGTATAAGTCATCACATGCACAATAGTCTGTTCAATTGTCAAAATTAGTCAAGAACATAATACCATGAATACCATATATGAATCCCTTGGAACATTTGATAAATTTATTACAGCAATTGACAGTCAGGTGAAACTAGAACTTGACTAACGAAGGAGGAGTTTCACACATCTCAGATGACCAATCAAACAGTATGTTTAGTTACCTGACAGGTGCTGTCCATGACTGTGAATGCTGCCAAACATGTATGTAAAGAGCTTGACCATGCAGGACCAGTACAATTTCTGAACATGGAGGCACCTGGCCAAGTAAATGAACAAGGGCAACTGCCTGCTCGAGGAAGAGGAAGAAGAAGAGGAGGAGGAGGAGTAAGGGTGCGTGGTGGTGGAATAGGGGGAAGAGGCCGAGGAGCACGAAGACACCATGCTGTCCCGGATGAAATTCGGGCCACAATTATAGACCATGTCATCAACCATGGCCTCACAATGGCGGAGGCAGGTCGCCGAGTGCAGCCTAATGTGCCTCGCTCAACAGTCTCCTCCATCATCCAAACCTTTCGCAGGGAAAACAGGTATGTAGTCAGTCAATGATGGAATTATATGTTGTATAGGACAGGACACTGTGCATAGAGCAAGAAATATATTTATTTACATATTTACCTATTCATTTAGTGTGTGTGTGTGATAGGCCTACAGTAATATCTTACCTCAATGGGATGTTATGATACTAAAAATGACAAGAAAAACATTGGAGAAAATAAACTATGGAATAGTTTATTTTCTACAGTATTGATGATACAGTTTACAGTAGTATTCCAGTCACTGTGCAGTGATGCATTAGAATTGTGGTAAAGTTACTGTAAGTAAAACAACAATACAATTACATAGGTAACTCATTCTGTAAGGAATACATAAGGTATACATTACGAATGGAGTGTTGTCCTTTGACTTCTATATCTAGGATTGGACGACAACCTTGCACAGGTGGCAGAGGAAAACTTCTCAATGAACAACAAGAACAAGAGATCTGTAACATGGTGATGGCAAATAATGCCATCACATTGAGACAGATCCGCGCTGCAATCCTACAAGACAATGCCATATTCCAAAATGTCAACTCTATAAGCATCTCCACAATAGACCGGATATTGAAGAAGCATCAGATGACAATGAAGCAAATTTACAGGGTACCATTTGAGAGGAACTCTGATAGAGTGAAAGAGCTGCGGTACCAGTATGTACATGTAAGTCAGTTACTGGTTGTCCATCATTATAACATTTTTACAATTAAGCAGTGGTTCCCAAACTTTTTTGGCTTCAGTACCCACTTTACCTGATTTGTGTATCCAGGTAATCCAGGTATGGAAGTATTTGATTTATCTGACTTCAACATTTCGCCTAAAAACTGCAGCTTACTGTATGATGCAATTATCATTATAATCCTTATTTTGAAGAATATAACATACAATAACAAAAGGGGTCAAAGAGCTGCAATTAGTGCCTCCCATGTAAATCTATCTAATACTGTGGGTTTTACTGTAACATTTCAGTAAGTCTAGTCATTGATGATTTCCCCCCTCCCCTTTCTGTCAAATACCCCCTGTAGTACCTCTGCATAGGGGTACATGTACCCCAGGTTTGGAACCACTGGAGTAGTGGCCAGTAGTATATTGAACTTGTGGAGAACATAGAACATTCCTATGTAATTGTCTGTAACTGTAGTGTATGACTCTTCTGTATGACTGATTTGATGTTTTCTTTTTTTACGCTATTGTAGAGAATAATGGCATTGGAAGGAAACGAGACCCATCACATCCTCGTGTTTGTGGATGAAGCTGGCTTCAACCTGGCCAAGGGCCGAAGACGTGGCCGTAATATTATTGGCCACCGGGCCATGGTGGATGTCCCAGGCCAGCGAGGGGGCAATATAACTATGTGTGCTGCCATATCGGAGAATGGTGTGGCCACTCACATCCCCAGTCTTGGCCCATACAATACACAGAAGCTCCTCATCTTCTTGGACCGCCTTCATGTTGATTTGATCCCTGAAAATGAGAGCGGTCTCGTAGGGCCTCACCTACCACAATATGTCATTGTATGGGACAATGTGAATTTCCACCGTGGCCCGCTCATCAGGGCCTGGTTCACTACTCATCCAAGGATGGTCATGGTGTTCCTACCACCTTACTCTCCTTTCCTCAATCCTATTGAGGAGTATTTCTCCGCTTGGAGGTGGAGAGTGTATGAGCATCGGGCTCAAGATCAGAGGTCCCTGCTCCATGCAATGGACGCTGCGTGTGAGGATATTACAGCAGATCAGTGTAGGGGATGGTTGCGACATGCACGCCGTTTCTTCCCTCGTTGCATCGCAAGGGAGAATATACGCTGTGATGTGGACGAGAATCTGTGGCCAGACAGACAGCAGCGTGTGGATGGCCAGGAGGGTGAGGACAGCGACCAGTGAAGAACTGTTAGTTGTGAAACTCCAGCTTTATTTACAGCACTGTAGGCTGCATATAATTTTCATTGTTTTTTGTTTGTGTGTTTATATTACAGTATATTATGCTGTATACATTTTCTTTTTACTCTGATGTATGGAAGTTACTTTATGTGTGTGAATGATAATGGTTACAATTTCCTTGGCAGTATGAGTGCAATGTGTGATGTCAAACCTTGGAGGCTACTCTTACCCTAAAATCCTATTTATTTTTTTCAGTTTTATACACAATTGTATTCTGTTAGCTAGACAAAAAACAGTACAGTAACCATTGTCAATGAAGGACTGGGCTAAGACTGAAAGGTGGACATGAGGGATATTTCAATGGTCCTCTGCCATAGTGACAAAACATCTAAACATTTTGACTTGCAGTGCTTACACAATGCCAAAGGGACGAAGCATTTTGGGGGCACTGACTGTTTAAATGAGAAGGAAATTTAGTTTTGACACATGCGTGAACTGTTTTGGGAGAGGTATGAGCTTTTGCAGGTGAACCATGGTGTTGTGCCGAACCATCCACGTTATTTTGGCTAAAGCACCAAGAGTGTTGAGAACGTCCGGTCTGTTTCAAGAAATGAGCCAAAGCAATTGAGAAGGATCTTTGCCATTTTCGTGGCACTGACTCCTTATATGGGAAAGGAATTTAGTTTTGAAGCATGAGTGAACAGTTTTAGGAGAGATATGAGCTTTTGCAAGTGAGCTATAGTGTTGTGCTGAACTGTAAGACTGTTTTGCCAAATGATCTTAGAGTTTTGAGAATGTAATTTCTGTTTCAAGAAATGAGCCAAACCAATGGAGAAAAACTGTAATAACAGACAAATGTTCATAACAAGTAAAATATATATACACTACCGGTCAAAGGTTTTAGAACACCTACTCATTCAACGTTTTTTCTTTATTTTTACTATTTTCTACACTGTAGAATAATAGTGAAGACATCAAAACTATGAAATAACCATTATGGAATCATGTAGTAACCAAAAAAGTGTTAAACAAATCAAAATCTATTTTATATTTGAGATTCTTCAAATAGACACCCTTTGCCTTGATGACAGCTTTGCACACTCTTGGCATTCTCTCAACCAGCTTCACCTGGAATGCTTTTCCAACAGTCTTGAAGGAGTTCCCACATATGCTGAGCACTTGTTGGCTGCTTTTCCTTCACTCTCCTGTCCGACTCATCCCAAACCATCTCAATTTGGTTGAGGTCGGGGGATTGTGGAGGCCAGGTAGTCTGATGCAGCACTCCATCACTCTCCTTCTTGGTAAAATAGCCCTTACACAGCCTGGAGGTGTGTTGGGTCATTTTCCTGTTGAAAAACAAATGATAGTCCCACTAAGCCCAAACCAGAAGGGATGGCGTATCGCTGCAGAATGCTGTGGTAGCCATGCTGATTAAGTGTGCCTTGAATTCTAAATAAATCACAGACAGTGTCACCAGCAAAGCACCCCCACACCATAACACCTCCACCTCCATGCTTTACGGCCGGAAATACACATGCGGATATCATCCGTTCACCCACACCACGTCTCACAAAGACACGCCGGTTGGAACCAAAAATCTCCAATTTGGACATCAGACCAAAGGACACATTTCCACCAGTGTAATGTCCATTGCTTGTGTTTCTTGGCCCAAGCAAGTCTCTTCTTCTTATTGGTGAACTTTAGTAGTGGTTTCTTTGCAGCAATTCGACCATGAAGGCCTGATTCACACAGTCTCCTCTGAACAGTTGATGTTGAGATGTGTCTGTTACTTGAACTCTGTGAAGCATTTTTTGGGCTGCAATGTCTGAGGCTGGTAACTCTAATGAACTTATCCTCTGCAGCCGAGGTAACTCTGGGTCTTCCATTCCTGTGGCAGTCCTCATGAGAGCCAGTTTCATCCTAGCGCTTGATGGTTTTTGCAACTGCACTTGAAGAAACTTTCAAAGTTCTTAAAGTAATGATGGGCTGTTGTTTCTCTTTGCTTATTAGAGCTATATTCTGCATACCCCCCCACCCTGTCACAACACAACTGATTGGCTCAAACACATTAAGAAGGAAAGAAATTCCACAAATTATCTTTTAAGAAGGCACACCTGTTAATTGAAATGCATTCCAGGTGACTACCTCATGAAGCTGGTTGAGATAATGCCAAGAGTGTGCAAAGCTGCCATCAAGGCAAAGGGTGGCTATTTGAAGAATCTCAAATATAAAATATATTTTGATTTGTTTAACACTTTTTTGGTTACTACATGATTCCATATGTGATATTTTCATAGTTCTGATGTCTTTCTACAATGTAGAAAATAGTAAAAATAAAGAAAAACCCTTGAATGCTTAGGTGTTCTAAAACTTTTGACTGGTAGTGTATATATGCTTATTCTGGGGGAATTTAAACCATTTAATTTTGTAGCAAAAGGTTAATCAAATAAAAAGTGTCACTGCTTAACAGACAGTGTCTCTTTGCAATCTTTACCAATCTGGGGTAAAAAAACAACAACCTGTTGGGGCTTTTAGGGTTAATACAGATGTATGATCTTAATTTGATCACCCTCTTGCAGGATAACTTTCCTGCAATGCATGACATTTTAAACTTGTACTGTATTTGAGGTTTAAAAAGGCTTCTGAAGATTGTAATTTCCACTTTGAAATTTCAGATTTGATTTTCCCTTATGAAAAATTGATGAACCCCTACAAAAATTTCCATTAATTATAATCCACATAATAATTCACATTTCCTGTTGCTGCAGGATTATTTTCCTGCTGTAGCAAACTGGCTCAAATTAAGATCCTTTATCTGTAGCATACCTGTTGCTTTAGTACACATCTCTTTTCTTTCTTTTTTCTTCTTTTTTTTTTTTAGGGGGTAGCTCAGCTTTAATATTGCAGATAGATTGTAACTTCCATCAGTGTAATTGTCTGCATCACTTCCAATCCCCCATATGTTTTTTTTTCTCGCAAATATATATATATATACATATATATATATATATATATACACATACATACATATATATATATACATACATATATACACATACATATACATTTCCTTTTTTTAAATATATTTCCCTTTATTACTTTCCAACCCCACCACCCCTTCCCTAATTGGAGTAAACTAGTACACATCTCTTTAGTAGAGATGCCAGCAGTACCTCTGAGGCAGTTGACTTTGACGGGGTTGAGGGGCCGTCTCTCCGGCCCAGGCTCTCCTGAGTGAACCGAGCGCTTCCTTTTGCCCAGGCCACATGAGTACTTGAGCTCATCCGTGGTGAAGATGAAGCGGATCAGGTAGCGCAGCAGCCGCCGGCCGTCCTTCTTGGACGAGTTGACAGCCTCGTCCCACTGCTTGTTGGTGATGAAGAGGGGGTAGTTCTCTAGGAGCTGTTTACTGGCCTGAGGAGGGGTACGAAGAAGGGAAGAGGGTGAGAATGATAGGAGGCTAGTGAGGGGAGGAGGATGCATAATAATGGCTGGAATGGGGTGAACGGAATTGGATACCATTCCATTTATTATCCCATTTAAAGTGCCACCAGCCACTACTGGTGAGAATGGTACAACTTAGTTATGAGCTCTGTGTACGCTGCCATAGAGCCACCAGGTTTGGGGTCAATTCCATTTCAGTTCAGCCAATTGAGTAAGTCAACTGAAGTCAACTGAAATGTATTTACCATGTTTTTCCTCATTGAAAAGCAATGAAAGGAAAAGGAAGATTGGAATTGGATTACAGTTGACTTCCTATATTGACTAAATTGAAATGGAATTGACCCCAACCCTGATACCCTCGCAGGGTATTAAAAAGTGCATTTATGCTTTCAAAGTATTCAGAAGTAGTGCAGTCATTCACGTGTTAGAACAAGGTCGTTAACTTCATGCTCAGTGTGTTATGGAGAACTACAATATTTTTCAGTTTCTCAAATAAATAAAAAGCATTATTTGTGCTACACATCTGATATATAGCTAACAATAACCAATTCCTATATTTGTAAAACCATTGCCCTATAGAACATTAAGTTATTCCCAGGAAAACGCGGCAGTAGTGTCCATTAACTTTTTATCCGTTTAACATATCATATGTTAGCTTGTTATGCAACACTGTTGCAAGATAATATTTTCACAACCTTAATAGAGAAGCTGATTTGAATGGCACTTTCATACCTTGAGCCACTAGTTTTAGTTTGATACTATATACAGTACAGTGCATTCGGAAAGTATTCAGACCCTTTGACTTTTTCCACATTTGGTACATTACAGCCTTATTCTAAAATGATTTAAATTGTTTTTTTCCCCCTCATCAATCTGCACACAATACCCCATAATGACAAAGCCGAAACAGGTTTTTAGACATTTTAGCAAATTTATAAAAATAAAAAAACTGAAATATCACATATATATAAGTATTCAGACCCTTTAACCTCTTAAGGAGCAGACCCTTCTTTTCAATTTCCGCCTAAAATGACATACCCAAATGTTACTGCCTGTAGCTCAGGACCTGAAGCAAGGATACAGTGAGGGAAAAAAGTATTTGATCCCCTGCTGATTTTGTACGTTTGCCCACTGACAAAGAAATGATCAGTCTATAATTTTAATGGTAGGTTTATTTGAACAGTGAGAGACAGAATAACAACACAAAAATCCAGAAGAAATTGATATTTATAAATTGATTTGCATTTTAATGAGGGAAATAAGTATTTGACCCCCTCTCAATCAGAAAGATTTCTGGCTCCCAGGTGTATTTTATACAGGTAACGAGCTGAGATTAGGAGCACACTCTTAAAGGGAGTGCTCCTAATCTCATCTTGTTACCTGTATAAAAGACACCTGTCAACAGAAGCAATCAATCAATCAGATTCCAAACTCTCCACCATGGCCAAGACCAAAGAGCTCTCCAAGGATGTCAGGGACAAGATTGTAGACCTACACTGGGCTGGAATGGGCTACAAGACCATCGCCAAGCAGCTTGGTGAGAAGGTGACAACAGTTGGTGCGATTATTTGCAAATGGAAGAAACACAAAAGAACTGTCAATCTCCCTCGGCCTGGGGCTCCATGCAAGATCTCACCTAGTGGAGTTGCAATGATCATGAGAACGGTGAGGAATCAGCCCAGAACTACACAGGATGATCTAGTCAACGATCTCAAGGCAGCTGGGACCATAGTCACCAAGAAAACAATTGGTAACACACTACGCCGTGAAATCCTGCAGCGCCCGCAAGGTCCCCCTGCTCAAGAAAGCACATATACAGGCCCGTCTGAAGATTGCCAATGAACATCTGAATGATTCAGAGGAGAACTGGGTGAAAGTGTTGTGGTCATATGAGACCAAAATCGAGGTCTTTGACATCAACTCAACTCGCCGTGTTTGGAGAAGGAGGAATGCTACCTATGACCCCAAGAACACCATCCCCACTGTCAAACATGTATGTGGAAACATTATGCTTTGGCTGTGTTTTTCTGCTAAGGGGACAGGACAACTTCACCGCATCACAGGGACGATGGACGGGGCCATGTACCGTCAAATTTTGGGAGAGAACCTCCTTCCCTCAGCCAGGGCATTGAAAATGGATCGTGGATGGGTATTCTAGCATGACAATGACCCAAAACACACGGCCAAGGCATCAAAGGAGTGGCACAAGAATAAGCACATTAAGGTCCTGGAGTGGCCTAGCCAGTCTCCAGACCTTAATCCCATAGAAACTCTTTGGAGGGAGCTGAAGGTTCGAGTTGCCAAACGTCAGCCTCGAAACCTTAATGACTTGGAGAAGATCTGCAAAGAGGAGTGGGACAAAATCCCTCCTGAGATGTGTGCAAACCTGGTGGCCAACTACAAGAAACGTCTGACCTCTGTGATTGCCAACAAGGCAATCCATCATCCCTTTGATGCAGTGAAGTCGTCCTGTCCCCTTAGCAGAAAAACACCCCCAAAGTATAATGTTTCCACCTCCATGTACTAAGTCATGTTTTGCAGAGGGGTCAAATACTTATTTCCCTCATTAAAATACAAATCAATTTATAACATTTTTGACATGCGTTTTTCTGGATTTTGTTGTTGTTATTCTGTCTCTCACTGTTCAAATAAACCTACCATTAAAAATATAGGCTGATCATGTCTTTGTCAGTGGGCAAACGTACAAAATCAGCAGGGATCAAATACTTTTTTTCCCTCACTGTATGCATATTCTTGATACTATTTGAAAGGAAACACTTTGAAGTGTGTGGAAATGTGAAATTAATGTAGGAGAACATAACACAATAGATCTGGTAAAAGATTAAACAAACAAAAAAAGTTTTCTATTTTTATTGCATCATCTTTGAAATGAAAAAGAAAGGCCATACATTCAGATAGGAAGCTGGAGGTAATTTAGATGTTTTCCACAAGAGGGCAGCAGTGTCTGTGCAACGTTTCAGACATACAATGAAGGATGACAACACAACATCATATTTTGTATCAAGACTCCCAGCTGTCCCTCACGAATTAGCCCAAATGTACCCAAGTGGCCTCCATGTGGCCGAATTGGTCAATTGATACATTTTCAAGTACATAACTATTGAGAACATACAAAAATGCTATGGTAATAACACACTAAAGTTTGCACACTCCCAGGAATGTCACACATGATGGATCATTAGCTTCCCTTCATAAAAGGTACTAACAGGAGACGCGACGAGAATGCTGATCCAATACCTCCCAACACAGAAGTGAACTATTTAAGATAAGGGCCAAGTTAGCAGCCAACACTGATCTAATGTCATACTGAACACACCACAAACCACACACAAAGTGAACAAATTAACTATTTACACACTATTTACAATTACAGTATTTAGAACACCCACAGTCCTCTACACAAGAGGGGACAGACGGTGCTGCAGTGGACTTTGTGCCATAGTCAGCAAGCTCCTGGATGAGCAGCTCTCTGAAGGATAGCTGTGTCATGGGGGTCTGCCCACAGCTCTTAGCCATTTCCTTCTGGAGGATGAATGCATTCACCACAGCAATGTCAATGAAGTGATAGAGCAATGTCTTGTACCATTTAATTGTCTTGTGGAGAACATTGTAGCAGCCTATCAGCGCATCTGACAGGTCTACACCTCCGATGCTCTTGTTGTAATCCTTTACAGCAGCTGGAATGTGGACATTCACACCTCTAGATGGCCGGGCGGGCTAGGTGTGGAGCCAGAGACCGCAGCACCACTTTTCTACATTTGAATGAGTGGGGGATGGACAACTTGAATGTGATGGTTCCCTAAGGTCATCTGAGTCATTGGAATTATTGAAGATTTAAAAAAGAACATTCAGTTAGAACTCAAGTTTACTATTATTTTATTTTAGCAGGGGGTGAGCCCTGCATCAATACTTTTACGGATGAGCCCTGCATCAATACATCAAATAAACAACATATCTATAAACATACAGTGCCTTGCAAAAGTATTCATCCCCCTTGGTGTTTTTTCTATTTTGTTGCATTACAACCTGTAATTTAAATGAATTTTTATTTTGTTTTCATGTAATGGACATACACAAAATAGTCCAAATTGGTGAAGTGGAATGAAAAAAATAACTTGTTTCAAAAAATTCGAAAGAATAAATAACGGAAAAGTGGTGCGTGCATATCTATTCACCCCCTTTGCTATGAAGCCCCTAAATAAGATCTGGTGCAACCAATTACCTTCAGAAGTCTGCAACACCACTAAGCAAGGGACACCACCAAGCAAGCGGCACCATGAAGACCAAGGAGCTCTCCAAACAGGTCAGGGACAAAGTTTTGGAGAAGTACAGATCAGGATTGGGTTATAAAAAAATATCAGAAACTTTGAACATCCCACGGAGCACCATTAAATCCATTATAAAAAAATGGAAAGAAAATGGCACCACAACAAACCTGCCAAGAGAGGGCCGCCCACCAAAACTCACAGACCAGGCAAGGAGGGTATCAGAGGCAACAAAGAGACCAAAGATAACCCTGAAGGAGCTGCAAAGCTCCACAGCGGAGATTGGAGTATCTGTCCATAGGACCACTTTAAGCCGTACACTCCACAGCAGAGTGGGCAGAAAAAAGCCATTCATAAAAAAATATATATAAGCAAACACGTTTGGTGTTCGCCAAAAGCCATGTGGGAGACTCCCCAAACATATGGAGGAAGGTACTCTGGTCAGATGAGACAAAAATTGAGCTTTTTAGCCATCAAGGAAAACGCTATGTCTGGCGCAAACCCAACACCTCTCATCACCCGAGAACACCATCCCCACAGTGAAGCATGGTGGTGGCAGCATCATGCTGTGGGGATGTTTTACACCGGCAGGGACTGGGAAACCGGTCAGAATTGAAGGAATGATGGATGGCGCTAAATACAGGGAAATTATTGAGGGAAACCTGTTTCAGTCTTCCAGAGATTTGAGACTGAGATAGAGGTTCACCTTCCAGCAGGACAATGACCCTAAGCATACTGCTAAAGTAACACTCGAGTGGTTCAAGGGGAAACATTTAAATGTCTTGGAATGGCCTAATCAAATTGAGAATCTGTGGTATGACTTAAAGATTGCTGTACACCAGCGGAACCCATCCAACTTGAAGGAGCTGGAGCAGATTTGCCTTGAAGAATGGGTAAAAATCCCAGTGGCTAGATGTGCCAAGTTTATAGAGACATACCCCAAGAGACTTGCAGCTGTAATTGCTGCAAAAGGTGGCTCTACAAAGTATTGACTTTGAGGGGATGAATAGTTATGCTAAGTTTTCTGTTTTTTTTTGTCTTATTTCTTGGTAGCTTCACAAAAAAAATATATTTAGCATCTTAAAGTGGTTGTCATGTTGTGTAAATCAAATGATACAAACCCCCCAAAAATCCATTTTAATTCCAGGTTGTAAGGCAACAAAATAGAAAAATGCCAAGGGGGGTGAATACTTTCACAAGCTACTGTATATAGAGTATGTGGTACACAATCACTATAATTATATATGTGTACCAATAGTAAATAAGACACTCGAAAGCCACAGCATGTCACAGTCAATTGTATATTGTAGCTTTATATATATTTATATAAAAAAGCCACTCCATTCGAGTCATTATTATGAACAATCCTCCCGTCACCAGCCTCCACTGGCTTTTATATAGACCCACAATGTATAGCCTGTGTATTTTATGTTGACTATGAAATGCTGTGGTTTGAGTGCTTTATTTACTATTGGTACCAGTCAAAAGTTTGGATACACCTACTCATTCAAGTGTTTTAATTTATTTTTTACAATTTTTAACATTGTAGAATAATAGTGAAGACATCGAAACTATGAAATAACACATATGGAATCATGTCGTAACCAAAAAAGTGTTAAACAAACCAAAATATATTTTATATTTGAGATTCTTCAAATAGCCACCCTTTGCCTTGATGACAGCTTTGCACACTCTTGGCATTCTCTCAACCAGCTTCACCTGGAATGCTTTTCCAACAGTCTTGAAGGAGTTCCCACATATGCTGAGCACTTGTTGGCTGCTTTTCCTTCACTCTCCTGTCCGACTCATCCCAAACCATCTCAATTGGGTTGAGGTTGGGGGATTGTGGAGGCCAAGTCATCTGATGCAGCACTCCATCACTCTCCTTCTTGGTAAAATAGCCCTTACACAGCCTGGCGGTGTGTTGGGTCATTGTCCAGTTGAAAAACAAATGATAGTCCCACTAAGCCCAAACCAGATGGGATGGCGTATCGCTGCAGAATGCTGTGGTAGCCATGCTGACTCTAAGATAACCTGCCTAAATGACTACCGACCCGTAGCACTGATGTCTGTAGCCATGAAGTGCTTTGAAAGGCTGGTTATGGCTCACATCAACACCATTATCCCAGAAACCATAGACCCACTCCAATTTGCATACCACCCCAACAGATCCACAGATGATGCAATCTCTATTGCGCTCCACACTGCGCTTTCAGACCTGGACAAAAGGAACACCTATGTGAGAATGCTATTAATTGACTACAGCTCAGCGTTCAACACCATAGTGCCCTCAAAGCTCATTACTAAGCTAAGGACCCTGGGACTAAACACCTCCCTCTGCAACTGGATCCTGGACTTCCTGACAGGCTGCCCCCAGGTGGTAAGGGTAGGTAACAACACATCCGCCACGCTGATCCTCAACACAGGGGCCCCTCAGGGGTGCGTGCTCAGTCCCCTCCTGTACTCCCTGTTCACTCATGACTGCATGGCCAGGTACGACTCCAACAACATCATTATGTTTGCCGATGACACAACAGTGGTAGGCCTGATCACCGACAACGACAGCCTATAGGGAGGAGGTCAGAGACCTGGCCGTGTGGTGCCAGGACAACAACCTCTCCCTCAACGTGATCAAGACAAAGGAGATGATTTTGGACTACAGGAAAAATAAAAGGACCGAGCACGCCCCCATTCTCATCGACAGGGCTGTAGTGGAGCAGGCTGAGAGCTTCAAGTTCCTTGGTGTCCACATCACCAACAAACTAACATGGTCCAAGCATACCAAGACAGTCCTGAAGAGGGCACGACAAAACCTATTCCCCCTAAGGAGACTGAAAAAATTTGGCATGGGTCCTCAGATCCTCAAAAGGTTCTACAGCTGCACCATCGAGAACATTCTGACTGGTTTCATCACTGCCTGGTATGGCAACTGCTCAGCCACCGACCGCAAGGCACTACAGAGGGTAGTGCGTACGGTCCAGGTCCAGTACATCACTGGGGCCAAGCTTCCTGCCATCCAGGACCTCTTTACCAGGTGGTGTCAGAGGAAGTCCCTAAAAATTGTCAAAGACTCCAGCCACCCTAGTCATAGACTGTTCTCTCTGCTACCGCACAGCAAGCGGTACTGGAGCGCCAAGTCTAGGTCCAAGAGGCTTCTAAACAGCTTCTACCCCCAAGCCATAAGACTCCTGAACATCTAATCCAGTACCCAGACTATTTGCATTGCCCCCTCTTTTACACTGCTGTTACTCTCTGTTTATTATCTATGCATAGTCACTTTAATAACTCTACCTACATGTACATATTACCTCAATTACCTCGTCTAACCGGTGCCCATGCACATTGACTCTGTCCTGGTACCCCCTGTATATAGCCTCGTTATTGTTATTTTACTGCTGCTCTTTAATTTCTTCTTCTTCTTCTTCTTCTTCTTCTTCTTCTTCTTCTTCTTCTTCTTCTTCTTCTTTTATTTTTTTGGTATTCTTTCCTGGCTAGTATGCAGGCCATGGAAAAACTGGGACATTTTCAGCTTCCAGGAATTGTGTACAGATCCTTGCGACATGGGGCCATGCATTATCATGCTGAAACATGAGGTGATGGCGGCAGATGAATGGCACGACAATGGGTCTCAGGATCTTGTCACGTTATCTCTGCGTTCAAATTGCCATCGATAAAATGCAATTTTGTCCGTAGTTTATGCCTGCCCATACCATAACCCCACCGCCACAACGTTGACATCAGCAAACCGCTTGCCCACAAGACGCCATACACGCTGTCTGCCATCTGCCCAGTACAGTTGAAACTGGGATTAATTCGTGAAGAACACACTTCTCCAGTGGCCATCGAAGGTGAGCATTCATGCCCACTGAAGTCGGTTACGACGCTGAACTGCAGTCAGGTCAAGACCCTGGTGAGGACGACGAGCACACAGCTGACCTTCCCTGAGATGGTTTCTAACAGTTTGTGCAGAAATTCTTGGGTTTTGCAAACCCACAGTTTCATCAGCTGTACGGGTGGCTGATCGCAGGTGAAGAAGCTGGATGTGGAGGTCCTGGGCTGGCGTGGTTTACACGTGGTCTGCAGTTGTGAGGCCGGTTGGATGTACTGCCAAATTCTCTGCAGTCAGCATGCCAATTGCACGCTCCCTCCACTTGAGACATCTGTGTCATTGTGTTGTGTTACACAACTGCACATTTTAGAGTGGCCTTTTATTGTCCCCCAGCACAAGGTGCACATATGTAGTGATAATGCTGTTTAATCAGCTTCTTGATATGCCACACCTGTCAGGTGGATGGATAATCTTGGCAAAGGAGAAATGCTCACTAACAGGAATATAAACAAATTTGTTGCACACAATTTGAGAAATAATTATTTTGTGCGTATGGAAAATGGGACCAACACTTTGCATGTTGCGTTTATATTGTTAAGCCTATTCCCCATAGTCACCTGGCACTAGTTTGTCATGTCTGTACCTTTCTATGTTGTGTTCCTAATGTTTCTATTTTTGTATCTCCCTTCCAGACTACCACATCCTTGTAATCCACATCCTATCTCCAAGGCCTTACAAGCCACAACTCCTAAGACATCCTTTGTATCCTTGCCACCGGCCTTAAAAGCCCTACAAAATCACCATTCCAAACCCTCCCCCCTGTGTGTGTGCGTTACCCCTAAACCTGGATTCCTGCGCCATCTCCTCATTTGCATTCTGACTGACGCTCCATGGTGGTAACAACAGTCCTGAACCTAGCTTAGTCTGTCCTAGTCCTTTTCTTCAGCAGGGTTTTGTTTCTCCCTAACCCTAAAGCCTGTGGCAGTATGGGAGCAGCCCAATCAAAACCAGTCACCGGATTTCTGTAATGTCAAAAACAATATATCATGCAAATGATAAATTAATGTACTCTTATGTTTACAACGAGAAGCAAAACTATCAGCTCCATAGAAAAATATTTTTCATAATTCTCATGCTGATTAAGGCCAATTCTATAAAGACAAAAACTAAGGGCGGTTTCACACCAAATTGGTTTTGTGCGGTTTTTCTGAACTCTGTGTTTCCCCCCCTTAGTTTGGACTGGTGTGAACACTATCGGCACCCGGGAGCGCACTGAACAATGCACCATGGTTTGCTAAAAAGGGTGGTGTTGGTCTGATTCCATTCCGTGGTGCGGTTCACTGCAGGTGAGAATGCAGTCCGGACCAAACACAGGAAAATAACCAGAGACGCGCAGTATTGGTGGTTTGACTGCAAGCATTTTATGAAATGCACGCTGTACCATAACTTTCTCTGAAACATTGAGTAGCAGTGCATATGATGCAGATTAGGGAGCTATACCGGGGATATAGGCTACTGACAATAGCTTATTCATGTCTCAGAGCGGCTATTGCGCTGTTTCCTCATGCATGTTGGAAGACCAAAGCAAAAGTAATATGAAGTTTGTGACAAGTTATGCTTCTTGATAATCATAGATGGATTTAATGTGAGCATTTTTCTCCAATAAACAAAGGACTTGCATGGACACGTGGTTTTGTTTAGGCATTTTAGTTAGTTTGACATTTGGCAATGTGAAACCAACCAGCCCAAATGAAAAAAATACAATGTAACAAATAACCGAACTCTGATTCGAACTATAGCTCAGAAATGTAAAAAAGTGAGGGGTCATTAAGTTACATAAAACACATCTTGAAAACACAAACCTCATATGTTTTCCGTTCTTCTTCCTATAGAGAGAGAGAGCGCTATTTAGATATAGAAGTTCACCTGGTGTCTTATTTTGCATTTGTCATTTAACATCTATAATATACACATTATGACTACTGAAACATACAGTATCTGACAGAACTGGAACAGACCAACAGTATTTAATTTTTATAAAGACGACTGTGTTTTGAGACAAACTGCTTGCTTACCTTTGTTAGTTGTTCCTCTGGCGTTGGCTGTATAAACTGGTTATGGTGCTGGAGAACAGTCTTGAAGAAGTCCAGCACATTCTGGCAGGGAGCTGGAAGGAGATCAGGGACTTCATTTATAAAACCAATCAAAGCTATTTCATTGTCAATTGTGCGTATGACAAAATTCACAGCAACAATGTGATTTATAAATCTTGGCATGAAAAGTAATGTACTACACCACATTGTGTTGGTGCTGTGTCATTATTGTGTAATTATTAGCCACATGTATGTTGAGTCACAGTGTAAAAACCCAAATCCATTGAGTTCACGCTGTTTTTTCTTGGGCAGCAAAGTGAGCACATTGTCTCACTTAAGTTAAGATTGACGTGGCCTTCTTTCGTATCCACATACCGAGTCACCATCTCACACGAATCTGCATAAACTGTAGAAATTGCCATTACTGTGCTCTACTATCCCGAAAGCCCTGCACTGTACCTGGTATGTGGTCCATCTTGTTCCGCAGCTCTTCGTTCTCCTGCTGCAGACACAGCACCTCCTGCTCCAGCTCCACACAGCGAGGGCAGCAGCTCTCCTCTTCCTCCTCTGGCAGGGTGGACGAGGGTTGGCCATACGACTCTGAAGGGGCTGGGGAGCTCCAGCCCCCCAGGTTATGGCCGGGCGACACCCCAGACTCGGCCGGTGGGCCTCGCTCTCCCTTGAGGCTCAGGTCCGGGTAGGGCTGCTGGGGCCCGGTGAGCAGGTAGTTCTGGAGGGACTTTGTGAAGATGTGCAGGAAGGCGTATGTTTGTTTTTGGCTCCAGTGGCTGCGCTGGGCTTCCTCATCAGGATCGACGGTGGAGCTCTCCTTGGGCCGTGGCTTGCCCAGGGTGGGGCAGTGACCCACTTGACCCCCCCCACACCCAGAGAGGCAGCTTTCCTCCTGCTTGATGTGGGAGGTGAGGGAGAAGGGCGGAGGATCATGGGGCTCCACAAACCGGCCACTGTTGAGGAGAGTGAGTACACGGCTACACTGCTGCGCGAAGGCATCCAAGATTAGATGGTTTTCTAGAAGCAGAGGAATCGAGAGTCAAGGCACAATGATAGCCAAGGCATTCAATATGACATTCAAGTCAATCAGTATATTTTGGCATCAACCTTTTGAGCACATTTCTAAATTTCCACTGTCCTGAATTACTTGGCATTGAATTGATGGATCAAAAAACTAAGATCAGCATCGACTAGATCGGTTGTTCGTCATATGATTGCTTGAGTCTTATCCCTTTCTCAGTCACCTCTACTTGACTCTCAGATTCTGTATAAAGGCGTCACAGTGCAACATCCTGTTGAAGTCTGTCTGTCTCCAGCCGTCGGGGGCATCGTTACTAAATGGTTATGTCAACCATTTGAGCTGTCCTACACTGGTTTCTGCATTGCTGCTCTGGCTTCCTCTCCCCCTCTCTATCTGGCTTTTCCTCTTTCCATTTTTCTACCACCTTTTACAATAGTACAGGGTCCCTCTATTCAATTGCACTCTTGTACAAGGAAGATGGCTGAGTCAGACCTCAATGTCTAGGCCTGTACTTGTCTATTCCTTGCCATTGTTGCTTCTGGTTCCTATTTGTGGCTTAAAGGCCTAGTGCAGTCAAAAACATAATTTTTTCTGTGTTTTAGATATATTTCCACACTATGCGGTTGGAACAATACTGTGAAATTGTGACATTTATGATAACGCCCTTTAATGTGCTGTTTGAAAAGACCACCTGAAATTTCAGGCTGTTTTGTTGGGATGGAGTTTTGGCCTGCCTGGTGACATCATCAGTCGGGAAATTAGTTGATAGACCAATAAGAAAGAGTTCCAAACCTCTATGCCAATAACAGTTAGTTTTGAGTTTTCTCCTCCCCACTCAGACCACTCCCAGACAGTCCTAGCAAAATTCTTGCTTGAGAAATTGCTCTTGCTAAGAAGCAATTTTTTGTTTCTTTTTTATATGAAAATACTGGGGCCATACTTGCGAACATTAGCAAGCATTTAAAATTCAATGGGCTCTCATACACAAAATGCGTATCAGGCAATGAAAAGCGTCGATTAAACTTGCATGTGACAGAACGCTAAATTGTAGCTGGTCTCATCAGATAACATGGCACATATTAGCCCTATGCTAACCTCAACAGATAGTACTGATTATATCCTGACACAACTTCTTCATCAGCCTATAAAAGATCTTAGACTTTATATCTGCCAACCAATGGCATTTCTTAAAAGAGGTCAATCCCATATTTTTTGTTTATCTGTTTCACACACATCCATATGCTTTTATGGGGAAAAATATATAAAACATGTACGTTTATTGTATATTGTAAAAAAAAAAAAAAAAAAAAAAAAAGAACCTTATGGATTTGTCAAATAGCAGTCATGTAGGCGATCATTGGCATCCTTGCTTCTCGGTGGCACACACTGCTAAAGCGGATGACTCGCAATCGATAATGCACTTTCACCGTGGGTTCGAGTCCCCCTCGCAGCAAGCTTTTTTGTGGAGGAAAAAACTGTTCACTGCCGGTTCTTGATGCTCGATTTAAAACACATATGACGAAGTGGATGATTATAATAATGCATAGCCTATAAAATGTTGTAGCTCTACATTTAGGTGTACACCAGTGGAGGCTGCTGAGGGGAGGACAGCTCATAATAATGTCTGGAACGGCGCTAATGGAATGGCATCAAACACATACACTGAACAAAAATATAAACGCAACAATTTCAAAGATTTTTATGAGTTACAGTTTATATAAGGAAATCAGTCAATTGAAATAAATAAATTAGGCCCTAATCTATGGATTTCACAGGACTATACAGGGGTGCAGCAATGGGTGGGCCTTGGAGGTCATAGGCCCACCCACTTGGCAGCCAGCCCCACCCACTGGGGAGCCAGGCCCAGCCAATCAGAATGAGTTTTCCCCCACAAAATGGCTTTATTACAGACAGAAATACTCCTCAGCAACCCTCCCTCAGACAATCCTGCAGGTGAAGAAGCCGGATGTGGAGGTCCTGGGCTGGCGTGGTTACACGTGGTCTGTGCTTGAGAGGCCAGTTGGACGTACTGCCAAATTCTCTAAAACAACGTTGGAGGCAGCTTATGGTAGAGAAATTCATATTTAATTCTCTGGCAACAGCTCTGGTGGATATTCCTGAGTCAGCATGCCAAATGCACGCTCCCTCAAAATTTGAGACATCCGTGGCATTGTGTTGTGTGACAAAACTGCACTTTTTTAAATGGCCTTTTATTGTCCCCAGCACAAGGTGTACCTGTGTAATGATCATGCTGTTTAATCAGCTTCTTGATATGCTACACCTGTCAGGTGGATGGATTATCTTGGCAAAGGAAAAATGCTCAGTAACAGGGATGTAAACAAACATTTGAGAGAAATAAGCTTTTTGTGAGAAATAACATGGGATTTGTTTTATTTCAGCTCATGAAACATGGGACCAACCCTTTACATGTTGCGTTTATATTTTTGTTCAGTGTAGAAACCATGTGTTTGATACCACTCATTCCGCTCCAGCCATTACCACGAGCCCGTCCTACCCACCTCCTGTGTTGTACACTTCTATGTAATATAGCCTATGCAATATGATTATTAGGCAATAGCAGTATGTTTGTGTGCAAGGTTGAAGAAAGAGGTATCTCCTTATTAAATTCATTCATAATCTTCATTTGTTGGCATCCATTTTCAACACAAGACACTAACAGAATACATGTAAATCATTTCAAAGGGGGGGACTCGTGTGAGATTCAAACCCTTCCACAATATGCGACCATTACGTGTACTAATCACTTTAAACAGAGATCATTTTGACCAGTCAGTCAAATACACATGATGGTTTCTTTGATGATCAGAACATGCTGTTGGACTCGATGAACAAGTGTTGGAACACGTCCAACTACTTCAATGACTTTAATTGGCTGACACACTTGTGCCAGGATATAATCAGTGCCACCTGTTGAAGTTAGAATAGGGCTAAGTTGTACCATGTTATCGCATGGGAAGAGCTACAATTTAGAGTTCAGTCACATGCAAGTAAATAGACACTTTTCTTTGGCTGATACGTATTTTATGCGTATGAACCCATTTCACTTTAAATGCTTGCTTATGTTCGCAAGTATGACCCCAGTCACTGTAAGGTACATATTTGTTACCCAGAAGTGATTTGATATTGAAATAAGAAAGAGTGTTCCAAACCTCTCTGCCAACAATAGCTAGTTGTCAATTTTCCCCTCCCCACTCCCAGACAGTCCTAGCAAAATTCTTGCTTGAGAAATTGCTCTTGCTAAGAAGCTATTTTTGTTCCTTTTTGACCATTTTAATTGAAAGCAATCGCAGTAAGGTACTTAATTGTTACCCATAAATTATTTGATATTGAGATAAAAACAGCTTCATTGGACCTTTTAAGGGTTGGGTTACTGTTGAGAACTTTTGACAAATGCATTTGATTTTATGTAATCTGATGTCCTCCCCCTCCTCCTCCTGAGGTTAAGGAATGAAATAATCAACCAAGCAAAACACATGGATGATGATGCTACTGAGCTATAATATCATCCATGACAGCGGCTTTCCCTGTGTCCTTCTCCCAGCAGTCTCAGCCCCTCACACACAAAGAGACAAGGCAGATCATTACTGAATGAGCGCAGACAGCTAGCTAACCACAGCGCCCTCGCTGCAACTAGGCGGGAGGCCCGGTGCACTGGCAGCCAGCAAGACGTGTCTTTCGGCCTGGCATAACTTCTGTCTGACTGTCATCTCCAAGGAAATGTGCTCTTATCACTGCAATCATTAAGTCACGTGAATAATTAGTTGTATTGGGTAGCTCTTGTCATTTGGTTAATAAAATATATATATACCGCCTCCCGAGTGGCGCAGCGGTGCTAAGGCACTGCATCGCAGTCCTTGAGGCATCACTACAGACCCGGGTTCGATCCCACGCTGTGTCACAGCCGGCCGTGACCGGGAGACCCATGAGGTGGCGCACAATTGGCCCAGCGTCGTCCGGGTTAGGGGAGTGTTTGGCCGGCCGGGATTTCCTTGTCCCATCGCACTCTTGTGGCGGGCCGGGCGCCTGCAAGCTGACTTCGGTCGCCAGCAGAACGGTGTTTCCTCCGACACAATGGTGTGGCTGGCTTCCGGGTTAAGCGAGCAGTGTGTCAAGAAGCAATGCGGTTTGGCAGAGTCGCGTTTCAGAGGACGCATGGCTCTTGACCTTCGCCTCTCCCGAGTCCGTAGGGGAGTTGCAGTGATGGGACAAGACTGTAACTACCAATTGGGGGTAAAAGTACAACAACATTTTGTTACATTACAGCCTTATTCTAAAATGGATTAAATAAATAAAAATCCTCATCAATCTACACACAATACCCCATAATGACGAAGCAGTAAAAGGAACACGACAGCCCGCTTGGAGTTTGCCAAAATGCACCTAAAGGACTCTCTGACCATGAGAAACAAGATTCTCTGGTCTGATGAAACCAAAGTTGAATTCTTTAGCCTGAATGCCAAGCGTCACGTCTGGAGGAAACCTGGCACCATCCCTACGGTGAAGCATGGTGGTGGCAGTATCATGCTGTGGGGATGTTTTTCAGCGGCATGGAAACTAGTCAGGATTGAGGGAAAGATGAACAGAGCAAAGTACAGAGAGATCCTTGATGAAAACCTGCTCCAGAGTGCTCAGGACCTCAGACTGGGGCGAAGGTTCACCTTCCAACAGGACAACGACCCTAAGCACACAGCCAAGACAACGCAGGAGTGATTTTGGGACAAGTCTCTGAATGTCCTTGAGTGGCCCAGCCAGAGCCCGGACTTGAACCCGATCGAACATCTCTGGAGAGACCTGAAAATAGCTGTGCAGCGACGCTCCCCATCCAACCTGACAGAGCTTGAGAGGATCTGCAGAGAAGAATGGGAGAAACTCACAATTTTTTTATTTTATTTTAATTTAACCTTTATTTAACCAGGTAAGACCCATTGAGGTTAAAAACCTATTTTGCGAGGGCGACCTGGCAAGAAGGCAAAACAGGGAAATAGCAGCGTGTACATAAAATATTACAGAAACAGGTGTGCCAAGCTTGTAGCGTCATACCCAAGAAGACTCGAGGCTGTAATCGCTGCCAAAGGTGCATCAACAATGTCCTGAGTAAAGGGTCTGAATACTTATGTAAATGTTTTTAATTTTTAATTTAAAAAACTGTTTTTTCTTTGTCATTATGGGGTATTGTGTGTAGATTGATGAGGGGGAAAAAACAATTTAAGGCTGTAACTTAACAAAATGTTGAAAAAGTCAAGGGGTCTGAATACTTTCCGAATGCACTGTACTATTATGCCGAACTGACCCAAACTGTGCTCGCTCTATTTTCTTTTCATGCTGTTGTTTTCACCACGGTTACAGCAACTATGGTGGATGCATAAACAGGCCAGCTCAGTACAGCTTGGTTTAGCTCAACTCGGTTCGGCTCAGAGGTTTGAAAAGCCCTAAACCAGGGGTCGGCAACAGGTGGGCCAAAACCGTACCGCAAGTATTTTTCTTTGGTCCCCCAAAGTTTGTAGTAAAAATATATGTTTTGTTTTCGGTCAAAAAAGAATGTAAAATGACCAGGATCGTGTCTCAATGTAATCAAAAATTATTTTTCAAATACAATCTGTTTTTCGGCTTAGTTGTGGTCAATTTGCAGTGTACAAATGATTATAAATATGTTCCGGCCTTCCTGACCTTCCGCTCCGACAAAAATCGGCCTGCGGCTGAATCTAGTTGCCTACCCCTGCCATATACTGTATCCAGTGCAGATACTATACCTAAGAACTGTGCATAACTGGGCTTTGAATTGGGTTTTTAAGGCAATAACATTGGAAGCCCAGTACCAAAGGACCAGGTTAATTTGAACATAGTGATTGCTCAGGGAGGTCTATAGGCTTACTATAGAGCATCTACTACTGTATGAGGCATGTATTTTGTCACTACCATGGACAATGGCATGAGGTGACATGACAATTATTAACCCTATTAGGCTTAATGCCAACGACTACTACACCATAGTGCTAGTACGATAGATAGATAGAACGATAGAACGATAGATAGAACGATAGATAGAACGATAGAACGATAGATAGATAGATAGAACGATAGATAGAACGATAGATAGAACGATAGATAGAACGATAGATAGAACGATAGATAGATAGATAGATAGATAGATAGATAGATAGATAGATAGATAGATAGATAGATAGATAGATAGATAGATAGATAGATAGATAGATAGATAGATAGATAGATAGATAGATAGATAGATAGATAGATAGATAGATAGATAGATAGATAGATAGATAGATAGATAGATAGATAGATAGATAGATAGATAGATAGATAGATAGATAGATAGATAGATAGATAGTGCTGTGCCAGTAGAACAGTCGTAGAATACTGAAGCTCAGCTCCACCTGCTAGTGGAGTGATAAGGAGATTAATATCTGTGGGGGAAATGGGATATCTGTTTCATTTAGTAACATGACTGATGCCGTGTCAAGTTCATTCCTTTCATTTTAAAACAAGTCTGAGTTCCAGATGGCACCCTATTGACTATATAGTGCACTACTTTTGACCAGGTCCCATAATCATCTGGTCAAAAGTAATTCACTATATAGACGGGTTGGTTGTTTAGCAACACAACCGATGCGTGCACAACTATGCGGCAAAAAAGACGATGTTGCCTTAGACTGTTGACTACATGTAAACTATATTTTGTCTCCAATGTTTATTGAAAACATAAATACATTTGCACAATGAGCACTTGTTGTCTCTCAAATACATCGTTACAGTTGTTGGTTAGCTAGCTAGCAAATTCTTTGCCAGAATAGCATTGACATGAAATCAGCCAAAACACCTAAAAACAAGACATTGTATCACGAACAAGATGAAACTAGCTGAAACGAGTCACTTACGATTCCTCACATGGCAGTTTCTTGTCATTGTTGGTAGCTATCTGGCCATCCAGAATAACAACAACTCATGGACTTCTGCCCCATATATAGGGGATTTGGTGCCATTTGGGACGCAGATCAAGGTTCCTATCAGGGTTGGGGTCAATTCCATTTTAATTGCATTCAGTTCAGGAAGTACACTGAAATTCACTGTTTTCAATGAGGAAAAATTTGAATTGGAATTAGGTTTACTTTCTGAATTGACTGGAATGGAAATGACCCCAGCCCTGGTTCCTATAGAAATAGAATTTGTATTTCTATGCCTACTCATTCTTTGAGAAACCAGTTTGCCTGCTTTTGCTCAAAAGTACTACACTACCGTTCAAAAGTTTGGGGTCACTAAGAAATGTCCTTGTTTTCGAAAGAAAATCAATTTGTCTGTCCATTAAAATAACATCAAATTGATCAGAAATACAGTGTAGACATTGTTAATGTTGTAAATGGCTATTGTAGCTGGAAACGGCTGATTGTTAATGGAATATCTACATAGGCGCACAGAGGCCCATTATCAGCAACCATCAGTCCTGTGTCCCAATGGCACGTTGTGTTTGCTAATCCAAGTTTATCATTTTAAAAGGCTAATTGATCATTAGAAAACCCTTTTGCAATTATGTTAGAACAGCTGAAAACTGTTGTGCTGATTAAAGAAGCAATAAACCTGGCCTTCTTGAGACTAGTTGATTATCTGGAGCATCAACAATTGTGGGTTCGATTACAGGATCAAAATGGCCAGAAACAAATAACTTTCTTCTGAAACTCGTCAGTCTATTCTTGTTCTGAGAAATGAAGGCTGTTATGGACAGACGAATCGAAGTTTGAGGTGTTCGGATCACAAAGAAGAACATTTGTGAGACACAGACCAAATGAAAAGATGCTGGAGGAGTGCTTGATGCCATCTGTCAAGCATGGTGGAGGCAATGTGATGGTCTGGGGGAGCTTTGGTGGTGGTAAAGTGGGAGATTTGTACAGGGTAAAAGGGATCTTGAAGAAGGAAGGCTTTCACTCCATTTTGCAACGCCATGCCATACCCTGTGGACGGCGCTTGATTGGAGCCAATTTCCTCCTACAACAGGACAATGACCCAAAGCACAGCTCCAAACTATGCAACAACTATTTAGGGAAGAAGCAGTCAGCTGGTATTCTGTCTATAATGGAGTGCCCAGCACAGTTACCGGATCTCAACCCTATTGAGCTGTTGTGGGAGCAGCTTGACCGTATGGTACGTAAGAACATCAAGCCAATCCAACTTGTGGGAGGTGCTTCAGGAAACATGGGGTGAAATCTCTTCAGATTACCTCAACAAATTGACAACTAGAATGCCAAAGGTCTGCAAGGCTGTATTTGCTGCAAATGGAGGATTCTTTGACAAAGTTTGAAGGACATAATTATTATTTCTATTAAAAATCATAATTTCTAACCTTGTCAATGACTACATTTCCTATTCATTTTGCTATATTTCCTATTCAAACTCATTTCATGTATGTTTTCATGAAAAACAAGGACATTTCTAAGTGACCCCACTTTTGAACGGTAGTGTACATAGAGCCATGACTACATGGAACTCTATTCCACATCAAGTAATTGATGCAAGCAGTAGAATCAGATTTAAAAAAACAGATAATAATACACCTTATGGAACAGCGGGGACTGTGAAGCAACACAAACATAGGCACAGACACATGCATACACACGATAACATACGCACTATACACACACGTAACATGGTTTTGTGTTGTAGATACAGTATGTGGTAGTAGAGTAGTGGCCTGAGGGCACACACTTAATCTGTTGTGAATGTATATTTAAACTTGTACAACTGCCTTAATTTTGCAAATTGAAAGAAAATGATGAAACATGAATAGTTTGAATGAGAAATAATTTTATAAGTTTGTTTATTTTCTTATTGTTAACATTTTGAGGAAGCATGGCTTCCCTTGGCAGCCATGAATACATGCCACTTTGTAGGCTGAATGTCATTACACTTTGTTTGTAATATATGTCCCTTTACATTCAAATGGTGGGTGCACAGCGCACTGTTCGAATGCTGGACTTATTTTGGAGTTGACAAACTTTTTGAAGTGATTTGTTTGACAATCAGATGAAAACATAATGATTGGTTGTGTTCATGACACATTAAAAGGTAATACATTTTTACAGTTAAATTACATCTTTACTATAAAGCCCATTAAAAAAATGTGTGCACGCGATAGGAGGTCTCGTTAAAAAAATAGAGCCACCCAAATGTCATGGTATAATTCGCACTCTGGATGGCACTTTCAAGTGAATTTACTGCTGTATGCTAATACCCTTATATAAAATCCTGACATTGAATGCAAATACTACAGTGAGACTTATGGAATTGATTTATGATTTATTTGAACACAGAAATGTACCAAACCTAAACTGAAGCATTTAATGTGTTGAACCGTCATAATTATATTGAAAAAATCCACCTTGCATCGATTAAGGTTCATAATGTTATGGCCCCCCTAAACTGGGTCTGCGCCCCAACTTGGCCACCCCATTCAAAATGTTCCGGACATGCCACTGCTCAAAAGCAGTGCACATCATTACAATGGATGTTTCTGAAGAAAAAAATACACAAAGCATAAACACAAACTCTGAAACACAAACACACTTCAACAACTGCACAACCCTATCACTCATTTGAGCACACACACATATACAGTGGGGAAAAAAAGTATTTAGTCAGCCACCAATTGTGCAAGTTCTCCCACTTAAAAAGATGAGAGAGGCCTGTAATTTTCATCATAGGTACACGTCAACTATGACAGACAAATTGAGAAAAAAAATTATCCAGAAAATCACATTGTAGGAAACCTTGTGAAGACTTACAGAAAACATTTGACCTGTGTCATTGCCAACAAAGGGTATTTAACAAAGTATTGAGAAACTTTTGTTATTGACCAAATACTTATTTTCCACCATAATTTGCAAATAAATTAATAAAAAATCCTACAATGTGATTTTCTGGAGAAAAAAATTCTCATTTTGTCTGTCATAGTTGACGTGTACCTATGATGAAAATTACAGGCCTCTCTCATCTTTTTAAGTGGGAGAACTTGCACAATTGGTGGCTGACTAAATACTTTTTTTCCCCACTGTAGCAGGCCTAATCAATCATGACTGCTCATTCTCAGTAGTGCATAATATCAATCACAGCAAATGATGGAGATATTAGAGAGATTCATGGAGATATGAGAGAGATTCATGGAGATATGAGAGAGATTAATGGAGATATGAGAGAGATTAATGGAGATATGAAAGAGATTAATGGAGATATGAGAGAGATTAATGGAGAAATGAGAGAGATAGAATGGGATAAAGAAGGCAGGGATTGCTTTCAGTTCTTAAATTGACCTTGGTAAATACAGTTGGGCTACTCCTCTCTGCTCGACTGATAAGCCATCATGGTTTAATTTGTTGTTCTATGTCTATTTTATTAGGGTATCTTTATCATTTTAGCCTGTAAACCGACAACAGGCCTACTTGTGGCAAATCAATAGTTGTCTTTGTGCAAAATACAAAAAAGTCCATCAAAAACTGCTGTTTGTCAACAAATGCATAATAGGACAACCATACAAATAGCCTAGTAAGGTCTGGATATGGCTAAATACTTATGGCATATTTCAAAACTCGTGTCTTATGGACACAATAATATTTAATAAATAGCATTGAAAAGGTTTTAAATACTAACCGGAAAAATGTATTTCTAACATTTCTTGCATTCCATTTAAGTGCAGAGGCAATACGCATCATCATCTAGTCTAACACCAAAATAAAGCCTAAACTTTTGCTCATATCACATTCTCAACCTGTTTTAAAATTTACCTGAGCTTATCCCGTAAGTGCAATCAGCAGATTCATGGTTGAGCGCGGCTCGTCTAGGCAAATAGGTGGGATCCCGGTGCTCCGTGGTGCCGCCGCTGACCGTCTGCTGAAGGCAAAGTGATGCTGGCGCCACACTCCCGACATTTGCGGAGGTAGATGTCGCGACTCTGCTGCTGGGCCTGTTATCGCATGGGAAGTGCTGTTGCCTCTGCAGCTGGGATGTCGGGTGATGTTGGCTGCTGCTGCTTATGGTGTGGGTTGTTTGATGGAGCTGCTGCTGCTGTTGCTGATGCGGCTGCTGATACGGATGATGGTGACTGAGATGATTGTAGTTCTGTCCGCCTCCGTCTCCCAGCAGCGGGATATCGACCATTGTGGGTCTGTCGAACCGCGCCTTCCCCGCCAACCGCCTGTTTGGGAAGGTTTTAAGGTTGCTGTATGGACCCCGCTGCTGACCGCACATCTTTGGGCCGCAGAGACCCTCGTCGGCAGGTTGCTTTTCCCCCTCCATCACTGCAAGTTTCAACACGCAGCGATACGCGCTCGCTCCTGGCGCGTCCTTGTGTGACAGTCTAGTGACTGCTTATCTTTTTCCTCACTGTCTCGTTGTCTTGCTCAGTTTTCCCCTCTTGGCACAATCACTTTTTTTTTACGCGGCGCCCTGTCTGGGGATTGGCGCTGTGGTTTGTCAGTAAATTATCCAACCCTCTGAACACTAGGCTACAGTCGCCTAATATTCAGAGGGTGGGCTAATTTACTGACAGGCCACAGCGCCAATCCCCAGACGGGGCCGCCGCGTAAAAAAAATGGGTTGTGCCAAGAGGGAAACGCAGGCGGTAGCTGCACACCCTGTGTCTCCAAAAACCTACATGAGTATACAAGTGACACACTCTTTTCACACTACTTCGATACAAAGTGATTTTCGTAGCAGGTTAGGAGAGCATTTTCGCTCACCCTAACCCTTTTCCTAACCTTAACCTCAGTCTCCTAACCTGCTACGTGAATTATCCTAACATGCTGCGTAAGTTCTCCTAACCTGCTCCAAAAAAAGTCACTTCGGAATGGAAGTGGTGAAAAAAGTGTTTCCGAGAATACAAAACTTTCAAGCTAAATTATATCGATCGATAATACAAAGCTTTCAAGATAAATTATATCGATGAAACTATAGCAGCCATTTTGCGTCTGACAAGCCAGGTAAATAGAGAATATGCTACCCCTTCAATTTGACAACGGCCTCAAATAAGCGTGCCACTCAAAATGAATAGGACAATAGTGTTGTGTTTGGCTTTTAAGGAATGTTTGAAATAAACCTACCAGAGACCAAACATGTCATGATTGTCAAATCTAGCCTACTGACTCATGCCATTAATTTGCTCATTATGCCAGTCCATAAAATGTTTAAGAATTCACTAGTCAACAGTTTATCATACATACCAAGTTATTAAATGATAGAAAATAAATAAAGGGGGGAAATTATACAAAATAAAGGTGTCATTTGTTTTTGTTTTGTTAGATTTTCTACTTTCCAAAAATTTTCTGAAACTGTATATTCAGTATAGGTCTACTGGTGGGCTATACACTCAGACGCCATCTGAGTAGGCTACGCTTTCCTTTATCTAACCTACATTTAGCTAGTATATGCCTATGTAGGCCTATAGAATAATATCAATTAGCATCTAGAATGGAAAAACAAACCATTAATCGAATAAGGTAATAAATCCAACCTATATAAAGTGCAATGGCAATAAAATAAGGTGACAGTCAACGTTTTTTCAGCCACCAGAGGGCGACACATCAATATACATTTGGCGACTTGAGAGAAAGTTACAGCCTACTGGGCACACACTGGTTGAATCAAGATTGTTGCTATGGCATGTCAATGACATTACGTTGAACCAACGTGCAGTAGACGTTGAATTGACATCCGTTCCCAGTGGGAGAGGTGAAGATACGCTGCAAACAAGAGACAAATTACAACCTTAATCCGAGCCTATACATCTTCCTTTTAATAATATGAATAGGCTATATTATACATATGTTTTTCACACAGGATACAAATAAATATGCAGTAGGCATAGGCTATTGGAAATTATAGACTAATTGTGCAAATATTTCAAATAGGCTTTTACTATAAGTACTATAAAAGACTATCGAAATGGTTGGCTCTGTATTAATATTCCTTGTCCTATTGATAAGGACGGTGAAGGGCACGCATGACTACTCTCTCAGCATCACTTTGCAATAAACTACAGTCCGCGTGGTGACGCAAAAGCGTACGCTCCATCATGAATGCGCTAGCCTGGTGGTCAAAGGCATGCGTGCGCACCTACACTGGGTCGGTCATAAAAAACAAAATATTTCAAATTAGGTTGGACACCAGAAGACCGTAGTCATCCACATTACATCTTCACCGAGCTGAACAACTATGGATTAAGAAAGTAAAACTTGTTTTACTTGTTTCCAAAAGGAACGCAGTGAAGAGAAGAAATGTCTGGGTAAAGTTCGGATACAATCTCGGTGATATCTGATGTCCTTTGCCTGTGCAATAATTACACTTTGAGAAGAGACTGAAACAATCATTCACCTGGACAAACTTGAGAGTTCAGTTCAAGCTTATTTTACACCTGTGACCTGATACTGGTCCGATTTTGGATAAGGAGGGTATATGCCAAATTGATAGAAATGCAAATATTCGTATGGTTGAATTAAAATCAAACGAATGATGACAATTAAAACACATTGAAACTGTAGGTAATTCAATTGTGGAACTGTTTCAAACCGAATTCATCATGCGAATATTTTAAATGTAAAGACAAGGCAAGAGTTAAGGAATACTGCTTAGGCTACTGGGTATATAATAAAGTTTTGTCGGGATGGTGCGACTGCTAAACTACCTCTTGCTGGGCTACCTGACCTGGAATCTACGGATATCAGACGCACAAGGGGAGTACTGCCATGGGTGGCTGGACAGTAATGGAAATTACCACGAAGGCTTTCAGTGTCCGGAGGACTTTGACACCATGGACGCGACCGTGTGCTGCGGGTCTTGCTCCCTACGGTACTGTTGCGCGGCTGTGGACGCACGGCTGGACCAGGGAAGCTGTACCAACGACAGAGAACTGAATAACACGGAGTTTGCAGCGCGTAAGTTTAGACTACCAAAGCAGAGCCTGGCAGGAGTGGACAAGTTAATGCACAATTAACTTCAAAAAGTGGAAGTGTTGTTATTATATTACAGCCAAAGATTTCCAAAGATTCAATATAGTTAAATAGTTCAACATTCAATATCTCGACACGCTTCTAATGAGCCATGCATGTCACTCAAATGAGAGTCAAGTCTGTGTCACCATTCAGCCTCTTCAGGTCAGTTTCAGGCATGAATAGCCTACATATTTCATTATAAAACGTTTTTGTTTTCAATCAGTCTTAGTTATAGTATATATTATTAAGATTAAATATAACCTATTAATCCATAAATTTCTTAGCCTATTTTTAAATAATCTATAAATCCATAATATTTTTTAGCCTATTTTTAAATCATTTAAATGCCAAAAATGACATCCATATAATAGTCAAAAATAATAATAATCATGCTATTATCTATATATCTATCACAGCCTATGTGTTGTTTTCATAAGTATATTGTCCAAAGAATCTCCTTAAAATGTATGTTGTCATTTTGAAACCTAACATAAGCACTAAAAGGAACTTCTCATTTAGTTATAACAATGTAAAGCTCTATCAAGATGCAGAAATGACAGCCCATCTTGATTTACGCAGAACTTGATTTACAAAGAAACTTTGTGGGGTGTAAGCACTAAGCAGCTCCAATTTCATGCATGTGGGGCACCAGTTGTTTTGGCTTGGGCTTCATTTGACATCAGGTTAGGTAGATTGTTATCGGCCCCCAAAAAAAGGAAACGAAAAGTGGGCATGCGATACACCTGGAGTTTCACCATCAAGGCCGGATGAAGAAATCATAGGCCCCGGGGATTTGATTTTTATAGACAGCCCTGGTCACCATAGACCATGGCTGGAAAGTAGTAGGGTGTGAAAAGTAGTATGCAACCATGCAACGTTGTAATAATCCTACAATTTAAATGATAACTTTGCACACCAATGGCAGAATAGCTTATGCCCTACTGTATCCAAAGGTGACATCAAATCGCCATCAGATGTGTATTCGATACGCCTGTGTAGCAGGGGTCATTAGTTTATAATTAATTTCTAATTTAAAAAGAAGAGTTTTCATACATATGGAATTATTCATCAGCATTAGTTCCAAATGTATACCATTTAGGGAATAAAACTGAAACATATATTTTTTAAACTAATTTCACAAAATCACTCAATTTAATGGTCGCCCAAGTTGCTAATACAATTTCCTGTTTTTTATGAAAATAAATACATTTAAGGTGTAATGTGAACGTTTAATCTATATTTTGGAGAAATACATTGTCTTCAGAAAAATGCATGAATGAACATTCGCACAGTTTACTTTTGCATAGTCCATTTCAGGCCTAAAACAAAAATATATAGAGCCATTGACTCAACACAAGAAATAGAAGTCTGACTGAAATAAAACTTAGCTAAATGATAGGCCTATTAATAACTACAAAACACCTGGTTTTGTAGGTGCATGTGGGTTACATGACATTTACAAATATATAATGCCTTTTAACACTTAGAATACATTGTATTAAGACAGCCTAACTGTAGTTGGTTATTTTTATAGTAGCAAATATATATATTTTTTGCAGCACTGCATTGCGTAATACACCCCAGTAGTCTTCTTACATTGTATTATGATCCAGAAACATTTACTACCAGTCTGACATTAAAATGGGCTATTGAAAATATTTTTGCAACAACTAGCAACAATAAAAAATTATGTCTTGTGAGTTAATGTAAATAAATATTGGATTTTGAGGGGATTTAGGAAGGTTAGGAGTAACATTTGACCTTTGTCTTCAAAAACGTATTTTCTTCTGAACCCTTTCCATAAAAAATGTGTAATTCTGGACTCTGTAGAAAACAGAAAGATAACAAATTATTTCACAGATATCTTATTCAATCAAGATGTGTTCCCATATGTCTGTACATGTTTGCAATACAGTTTATTACGCAAACATATTTTCACTGACTCCAAATAGAGTTGAGTATAAACTCCACTTCTCATTGGCCCTGTTACTTTATGAATAAATCCTTCCTAGTTTCCTTGAGGTGAGCACAGGTATGTAAGGGATTTGTTAGGTGTAAGCAATGTTACCACCCTATTGCTTTCACCAATCAAACCAGTATTCAGATCTGTGATTGCTTCAAGGAAGGTAAAGGGATGCATTTTCAAGTTTTTATACAGGTATTCAAGTTATCAAGTATTCAAACACCTATTCCTCCTTGCAGAGCCCATCTACGTGCCCTTCTTGATGGTGGGCTCCATCTTCGTGGCTTTCGTGGTGGTGGGCTCCCTGGTTGCCGTCTACTGCTGCACCTGCCTGCGGCCCAAGCAGCCTACCCAGCAGGCTATCCGCTTCTCACTGCGCAGCTGCCAGGGCGAGACCATCCCCATGATCCTGACCACTGCGCCACCCAGCCTGCGCACACCCTCACGCCAGTCCAGCACGGCCACCAGCTCCAGCTCAGCTGGCGGGAGCAGCTCGGTGCGCCGCTTCTCCCTCGGAGGTCAGGGGCAGGGGCAGCAGCACGGGTGCTTGGTGTCAGCATCTGCACCAAGCACCCGCGTCTCCACCTCCCCCTCCATGTCCCAGCCGCTGCTGCCACCACCCCCTCCGCCCCCCTACACCTCCCCCGCAGCCTGCATGCCAGGCGGCCGCCAGCACCCTCACCCCCATACCCAGCTGCAGCTGCACCAGCCCATGCACCCACACCAACATCCTCACCCAGCCCAGGGCACGGGCTTCCTGCTGCCCCAGCAGTACTTCTTCCCCCTACAGCCGGAGCCCTTCTCCGGGGCTAAGGGCTTTGCAGACTTTGGACAGAGCTGACGGGGCTTCCCGGGCAACGAGGAGGCGGATTATAGGAGCACACTGTGGGATGTGAGTAGGGTGGTGTTCATTAGGCACTAAATGGAAGAAAACAGACCGAAACAACAGGAAGGGACTACCTGAACCTGCCCAGTATGAGTTTGTTTTATGTTGCAAAATGTTTTAAATCGGTGAACTGTACTGAACATGACCCTGGTGTGTTTTGTGGACTAGACACACAACCAGTCAGCGGCTACCGGAAGGACTGCCCTAACATGCAGTGCAGTAGGCCTGTTGAATGGAGACTGGGAGACAGGAGGCTGTGCTTAAGATAAACCACAAGAAAGCTTCAGAGTCAAGCAGAGTACATGAGAGTCTTGTCTCTCTAAATGACAGGAAAGGACATCTGCTCAGACCAGACAGGACCTGTTTATTGGTCATTATTGTTTTCAATGTTATGCACTTTTTTATATATACATTTCTATTGTAAACAATATTCTCTGTCTTCCCTTTCTTTTTTGAACACAATTTGGTTAAATGGTGATGTTAAATTGTCACAATAACTTTGTCACAATAACATTTGTGGCAGCAACATTATTAAGAAGTGTTCTGCACATTTTGTTGCGAGCTGTTGGACATTTAATCAAATTATCATTTTGACAATCGCAAGCCCCTCTAAAAGAGGGGAAGGACTGACACCAAGTTGTGCAGTAGGTTGAACAAAGCCAAAGGATGTACTGTGTATACAGTGCTCACTGGCTGACCTATAGGTTCGTTTTTAATTAACAATCATATTAGCCAACACCATATAAGAGTCCAGTATCTTGTCAACAATCCAGTATTGTGAGCATAGAGATCCTATTAAATTACTATTAGTAATTAGTATTCTAATTCCTAATTCTATGATTGTGAGTACTTGTCATGCAATGCTACAACTAGAAGTACATTTAAAAAATGTAAAAACACTCCCCAGTTTGTCAGTATTTCAGAAAATTGAACATACTCTTTAATAATCCAAGATTGGATGGTTGAGAATTGCTTCATTGCTCACTTACGGATAGATTTTGTACTGTATAGTACTAACTTCTGAAAATGACTTGCAACTGTTTCCTTTATGCTGTTAAAGTCACAATCCTGAGTTTGTGTTTCACCTATTAGCCCAACTGCAGCCTCCACATTTGGTTTGTTTATGTACTACTTATTATACTGAAGAGAGGGGATGCAAAGATATTCACAAACATGAATGCCACATTGACCCTTAAATACAGAAACTACAAGCCAAAATGTTGGCTTGCGAATAGCGCAGGCACCCTTTCTCCAGCCTCAGACATATAGGCAACTAAAACGGTTGAAGTTCATAGTCGTTCACTATCTGTCGCTCAATCTTGCGCCAGACTTCACATGAGGAATGTGGCAACGAGATCAGTCCTTGTCAATGCTCAATAAGCCTGTCATGGCCACAGTGTTAAAAACAACTGGTCCCAGAAATAGGGAAAGGTTTTGGGTTGCACGAGCAGGTATGGCAAGAGTCCAAAGACTTCTCTGTTCCCTAGTCATTTAAGTGTGAAATAGACTTGGCAATCATGGTCCTATTATGGCAGATTAGATACAATAGCTCATTCAGTGGATAATGTTTGGAGCTAGATTCTGAGCCTTCTAAACAAAGGAAAAATTACAGCAATTCCTAGAGATGACTGCCACAACAATCTTTGAGTGTTGCTGTCCTTTTTTCTTTTTTGGATTGCTCAAAATCTACAACGTTTACCCAGACAAGCACCCCATTCCAATAGAAACCTTTGGTAGCACAGGCATACTTGCATACTACTCTTTGGAGCCATTTGTGCTATAGTTGCTCAGATGTTGACACAATTGTTTTTCTATACATTTGGGTATGCTTGGACACTTCTGGTTTTTAAAAACATATGAATAACTCATCGTCTTTCAGATACTGTATTCTAGATGGTCCTGTGTAATACTGCTCTAAATCTATTTAGAAAGCAAAGAAAATACTTCACAGATGTACTTTTTTTCAAGTTACATTGACAGTAGTACAATGACTCTTGTATGAATACTTTAGCAAGGGTACACCTGGTCAGGAAAATGTATTTCATGAACTAACGACTAAAGAGAAACCATCTAGGTTGGTTTTGTGATACTGCTATGATAGTGGATACTTTGTCAATAACAGAGAGAAATTATTGTAATTATAACGGAAGGGATATTCTACCACACGGCCCCTCAGTAAACCTCAGATCACCAGTCACCAGGGAGTACAACGTCACCACATTGATGACATTTGATGTTTTCCGTCTCCCCTGCCTTTTCCTGTTTAGGTTCTCAGTGCTCTGCATGTCCTGTTTGCTGCCACACACATAGGCATATGATTAGATGGGAAAAACAACTACCTGCCTTCCCTCATTTTGGACAGTTAAAAAAGTCTGAAATGAGGGATGGCACCTTATTCCTTATTCTCTACATAGTGCCCTACTTTTGACCAGAGTAGTACACTACATACAGTGAGGGAAAAAAGTATTTGATCCCCTGCTGATTTTGTACGTTTGCCCACTGACAAAGAAATGATCAGTCTATAATTTTAATGGCAAGTTTATTTGAACAGTGAGAGACAGAATAACAACAAAAAAATCCAGAAAAACGCATGTCAAAAATGTTCTAAATTGATTTGCATTTTAATGAGGGAAATAAGTATTTTACCCCCTCTCAATTAGAAAGATTTCTGGCTCCCAGGTGTCTTTTATACAGGTAACAAACTGAGATTAGGAGCACACTCTTAAAGGGAGTGCTCCTAATCTCAGTTTGTTACCTGTATAAAAGACACCTGTCCACAGAAGCAATCAATCAATCAGATTCCAAACTCTTCACCATGGCCAAGACCAAAGAGCTCTCCAAGGATGTCAGGGACAAGATTGTAGACCTACACAAGGCTGGAATGGGCTACAAGACCATCACCAAGCAGCTTGGTGAGAAGGTGACAACAGTTGGTGCGATTATTCGCAAATGGAAGAAACACAAAAGAACTGTCAATCTCCCTCGGCCCGGGGCTCCATGCAAGATCTCACCTCGTGGAGTTGCAATGATCATGAGAACGGTGAGGAATCAACCCAGAACTACACGGGAGGATCTTGTCAATGATCTCAAGGCAGCTGGGACCATAGTCACCAAGAAAACAATTGGTAACACACTACGCTGTGAAGGACTGAAATTCTGCAGCGCCCGCAAGGTCCCCCTGCACAAGAAAGCACATTTACATGCCCGTCTGAAGTTTGCCAATGAACATCTGAATGATTCAGAGGAGAACTGGGTGAAAGTGTTGTGGTCAGATGAGACCAAAATCGAGCTCTTTGGCATCACCTCAACTCGCCGTGTTTGGAGGAGGAGGAATGCTGCCTATGACCCCAAGAACACCATCCCCACCGTCAAACATGGAGGTGGAAACATTATGCTTTGGGGGTGTTTTTCTGCTAAGGGGACAGGACAACTTCACCGCATCAAAGGGATGATGGACGGGGCCATGTACCGTCAAATCTTGGGTGAGAACCTCCTTCCCTCAGCCAGGGCATTGAAAATGGGTCGTGGGTGGGTATTCCAGCATGACAATGACCCAAAACACACGGCCAAGGCAACAAAGGAGTGGCTCAAGAAGAAGGAGTGGCTCAAGAAGCCAGTCTCCAGACCTTAATCCCATAGAAAATCTGTGGAGGGAGCTGAAGGTTCGAGTTGCCAAACGTCAGCCTCAAACCTTAATGAAGATCTGCAAAGAGGAGTGGGACAAAATCCCTCCTGAGATATGTGTAAACCTGGTTGCCAACTACAAGAAACGTCTGACCTCTGTGATTGCCAACAAGGGTTTTGCCACCAAGTACTAAGGCATGTTTTCCAGAGGGGTCAAATACTTATTTTCCTCGTTAAAATGCAAATCAATTTATAAAAATTTTGACATGCGCTTTTCTGGATTTTGTTGTTGTTATTCTGTCTCTCACTGTTCAAATAAACCTACCATTAAAATTATAGACTGATCATGTCTTAGTTAGTGGGCAAACGTACAAAATCAGAAGGGGATCAAATACTTTTTCCCCTCACTGTATAGGGTGCCATTTGGGATGCAGATATAGACAGCCATAGATAGCCATAGATATTGTGATAGTGGAATGGTGGAATATTCCATTTCTGTGATGGTAGGTCAGAGATGACAACAAAGGTTGGTTTCCATTTTGTAAAGTTTATTTTTGTAGTAGTCCTTCATGGCAGTGAAAGACAGAACACTTAAAAGTTTGCAGTCCCAACATGCAGAACAATCATTAAATGAAAGACGTCAAAATAAACGATATTCAAACAAATTGAAAAGTGGATTTATTTTCTGTAGTGACCAACACTTGAGGGAGAATCAAAGTAGTACAATAAACACTTAACCAAATAAAGTTTTATTTTATCCATTCATGCAGCCCACAACTATCACAGACAACAGTTTTTGAAAAATCAACAGTTCAAGCCTTCCAAGACCAATTTCACATCAGAAGAACCACATTCAGCATTTTGGAATTATGACAGCAGTTCATAACTAATCAATCTAAACACGAAAGTATAGCATAACAAATACATTTTTACTAAAACCAGGAAAAAACACAAAAAATTGTTGTAAAGAATAGGTACACTCCATGAGAGAGAAATAAAAGTTACAAACATGTACACCCAGAGAATTTACAATAACCAGATAATACCAAAATATCCACTAATGGAAAGGTAACAGAGTGCATTGTTCAACATTTCCTGTCAAGCGAGAGCCTTAGCGTCAGAACCCAGGACCACCACGGCTGAAGTCTGGCCACACAGAGAGCCATGCAGCAGCAGACAGTACACCATCATTATACCTGGAGTCGTGCAGACAGACAAGAGGAGCAAGCAGCACCACACACACACACACGGACAACCATGTATTGCACAGTCAGTCATTCAGTCAGTCACCCACACAGATCCTGAAACATACACAAACACACACACACACACTCAAATAATGCAAAGTAAGACCTGAGGCTCCAAGGGCTCCCAGTCTCACATAAAGGACACAGACATGCATACGTAGAAGTTATCCACAGTAGAAGATGCACATGCAGACGACAGATCACACACACAGTCTGGAAACTGATCTCCCATAGGGAGAAGAGGACAAACACACAGTCAAATAATAAATAAACAAAGCAGTTATTTTAACGATATTAATAACAACAAGACATTTAAGAAATATATTTCTCCTCATTTAATCATTCGAGCATTCTTTTGTTTGTCTAAAAAAAATTACAAATAAAAAACATGGACAAAAATTCATTACAAAGCCGGTCAATGCAAAATTCGTACTTCTCCAATATAAAAATACAAATTCACATAATAACTATAGAGACAAAGTAGTTTTGATACTGTGTGGAGTTTTCTGGCAAATTTTCTCTCTCCCTTAAGCTAATGGCACTTATGTTCAAAGGATAAACTCTCCATTCTAAGGGAAAATAAGATTGTGAAAGAACAGTTGCCACATATGGAAATTCAACAGGATCGTCATACAGCCAAAACACTCGGTAGAAAGTAACAACGGAACCTTGATTTTATATGTGCCACACTTGTTACCACATTGTGTACACGAGTACAATACGGGGGGAATGAGCTCATGTTGCCAATCAAGGGGAAGATCACTGTTCTAAACTAGCTAGCTAGGATATCTTACGTATTCTATCAGGGAAAAAGTCTAGTTAGGCACCATTGTGATTGTTACAGCCGAGTAATGTGTGCAATGCAATTACTTGTTAAAAGCAATCAAACTGATGTACAACATTTTTGTAAATTGGACTAAGTTGCAGGACTCTATCATTAAAAGACAATGCAATTCAGGCACAATAACTACATACTTCTTAAATAAAAAATATAAATATTTTGAAGAAAAATAAACATGGATGGCTGAAGGCATGGAAAAATGTAAGGCCTTATTATACAGTAGATCATTTTTTTCAAAGTGCAAAAGAACAACAAAACAACAAAATACCTGTTCTGAAGTGGTCCATTCAGTGCTGGAATAGACTCAGGAGTGTCAATATGCTTGGTGATTTTTTACATTTTATCAAAAACAAATCTGGATTATTCTGTCACCAATGGGAGTACAAATACTTACATTTTTTTTAAATGTTTGACAAAATTATAGATTGTTTTGGCTCAATGCTCATATTTTTTTCTATCAATACGAAAGGAGGAAACATTAAGATGGTTACACTTCACCACATTTGACTGAGCAGGAACAGTGAGGAATTTCAGACCACAGACTCTGCAATAAATGCAAGCACAGTGCTTATGTCTGCTGCACACACAACTACAGCATAGTGAATACTTTTTGAATGCTTTTTTGTTCCGAGTTATTTTCCCTTTTTCAAGTACAAGACATCCCTCTATCATGTCCAAAATCCCGAGACGCTCAGGCTAGGGTCATCTGGAGGCTGCCCCCCTCAGATTCAAATCGCTGTCGGAAAACGAATGTGAATCACGATAGGCCGTCCTGGCCGAGAGCGGCGTGGTTTCACCACTCGTTGGTCCGCTGTTTGGTGGTGTCGTACGCCCGGATGACCTCAGACTGGGAGACCACTCCGTTCTCGTCTTGAGAGAAGGCGTATCCGTCTGCAAGTAGGACAGATGGACAGCGTGAGAAACGACGGCTGACACGTTTAAATTCTAACCATGATTAGAAAGAAACTAACTTCATTCTAAACTTGTTTTTTTTAAATCAGAAAACTCATTAAAATTATTTTAATAGAATAAAAATAGACTAAAGGATGACTTTCAAAATAAACCAAGAATGAACTTATAAGTTTCAATTGAATGAAAACAATAATAATAAAAAATAACCAACAATTATACACTACCAGTCAAAAGTTTGGAAACACCTACTCATTCAATGGTTTTGCTTTATTTTTACAATTTTTTACATTGTAGAAGTAGAGTGAAGACATCAAAACTATGAAATAATAATATTTAAAATGTGAGATTCTTCAAATAGCCACACTTTGCCTTGATGACAGCTTTGCACACTCTTGGCATTCTCTCAACCAGCTTTATGAGGTAGTCACCTGGAATGCATTTCAATTAACAGGTGTGCCTTCTTAAAAGTGAATTTGTGGAATTTCTTTCCTTCTTAATGCGTTTGAGCCAATCAGTTGTGTTGTGACAAGGTAGGGGTGGGTATATAGAAGATAGCCCTATTTGTTAAAAGACCAAGTCCATATTATGGCAAGAACAGCTCAAATAAGCAAAGAGAAACGACAGTCCATCAGTACTTTAATACACGAAGGTCAGTCAATACGGACAATTTCAATAACTTTTAAAGTTTCTTCAACTGCAGTCACAAAAACCATGAAGCGCTATGATGAAACTGGTTTTCATGAGGACCGCCACAGGAAAGGAAGACCCAGAGTTACCCCTGCTGCAGAGGATAAGTTCATTAGAGTTACCAGCCTCAGAAATTGCAGCCCAAATAATTGCTTCACAGAGTTCAAGTAACAGACACATCTCAACATCAACTGTTCAGAGGAGACTGTGTGAATCAGGCCTTCATGGTCGAATTGCTGCAAAGAAACCACTACTAAAGGACACCAAAAAGAAGAAGAGACCTGCTTGGGCCAAGGAACACAAGCAATGGACATTAGACCAGTGGAAATGTGTCCTTTGGTCTGGAGTCCAAATTTGAGTTTTTTGGTTCCAACCGCTGTGTCTTTGTGAGACGCGGTGTGGGTGAACGGATGATCTCCGCATGTGTAGTTCCCACTGTAAAGCATGGAGGAGGAGGTGTTATGGTGTGGGGGTGCTTTGCTGGTGACACTGTCTGTGACATATTTAGAATTCAAGGCACACTTAAACAGCATGGATACCACAGCATTCTGCAGCGATACGCCATCCCATCTGGTTTGGGCTTAGTGGGACTATAATTTGTTTTTCAACAGGACAATGACCCAACACAACTCCAGGCCTTTTCGGTTACTACATGATTCCATATGTGTTATTTCATAGTTTTGATGTCTTCACTATTATTCTACAATGTAGAAAATAATAAAAAATAAAGAAAAAGCCTTGAATGAGTAGGTGTGTCCAAACTTTTGACTGGTACTGTATATATTTTTTTGTCTTCCTCCCTAAGAAGCTTGACCAGTGCTAAGCGAGTGAGGGTCAGTCATGTTACCTGACACCTACCATCTTTACTGAGCTCTACAGCCACTACCTACAACTATGGGAGTTCTTATCCCAACCTTAACCTTTGACCCCCTAACTCACCTTTAGGTCTCAAATGACTTGGTCACTACCTGCAGGTCTGCAGATGAGTTCAAAAGGCCCGATGAGAGGAGTGCATTGTGGGAATAATATCGCAAATGTTTATTGAATCGTTTTCTCTCTGACCACCACTCACACAGGGTACAGCACACAGGGAAGGAGAGGTGGGTACATAGAGCCGAACCGAGGTGAGCCTAACCAAGCCAAGTTGTACTGAGATGGCCTGGTTACACATCCACCATAGTTGCTGAAAGCCTTCTGAAAAGGACAATGTGTTTCGGGTCGGCGCAATACTGTGAAAAGGGCATAGATGGGGTTTCTAATAGGGATCGGGGGTATGGTTTCGCTACAGGTAAGAAGGCAAAAATAAAAGGGGTCACATAAGACCGATCCCATCCCCACCTACGTGGCAAACAAAAAAACAAAAAACGGTCAGCGAAAGAAACAGAAACAGAAATAAATCTAACCAAATAAAACCCATTCCATCTGTATTGTCTTAAAGCTTCTATCTAGACTACTAGGCCTACGAAATTTGTACTAGATGGGAAGAGACTGTCCGTTAGTGTGCGTCCGAAATAGCATCCTAGTCCATATATAGTGCACTACTTTTGACCAAAGCCCTATGGGCCCTTTTCAAAAGTAGTGCACTATAAAAGGAAAAAGGTGCCATTTGGGACACACATAGTGTTAGGGGGGTTGTATTAGCAGGCGGAGGAACACCAACAGGGAACAGTGGGGCGTTTTTGTGTTACTTAATGGGGTTAAAGACAGGATTATGTATGTGGATTTCCTGCATCTGGCTAATGTGGAACATGCATATCGAATTCTAAAGAGCGGTGGGATCAGCGGAGTATTAGCACTTCCCCAATGCTGAGGCTGCATCTCAAATGGCACCCTATTCCCTCTGCAGTGCACTACTTTTGACCAGGGCCCATAGGGTAGTGCACTATATAGGGAATAGGGTGCCATTTAAGACTCAACCCGAGTCCCCTTTGGAGCTATGTATGGAATCCCCATAATATGGCACTAAGTATCCGCATAGGAACTACACTAAATTCAAAATGCCTGTCTTGGGGCTTTGGACCAGTGCTGAGAGAAAATGTGTCTCTCTCTCTAAGAAAACAACATGAGGGATTGCCTTCACGTCAGTGTGTGAGGTGTGTGTATTTAAAGGTGTGTGTTAATAATAGTGTGTGTAACTTACGTAGCAGGTTCTGCTGCATGGAGTCCGATCGGTACAGACTCACGGTACTCTTCTTGAAGACGTTCTTCAGGAGCTGTGCCCTCTCCGTCAGACTGCAAAGAGACACACCCGAGAGAGAGAGAGAGGGAGAGAGAGGGAGAGAGAGAGAGAGAGAGAGAGAGAGAGAGAGAGAGAGAGAGAGAGAGAGAGAGAGAAGACGGGAAAGAAAGAGGAGAGGGCAAAGAGAAAGAAAGAGAGCAAGAGTAAGTGAGAGAGAGTGTGTGTCAGCGCCACACTGAGCCCTTCAGCCAGACTTAACCATCCCTACATCAAGCCCTCTCTTGCCCAGTACTCCACATGATCAGAGAAGAGAGACCAGCCAACTGCACTTCCTGCTGAGGAGACCATGCAGGGAGACTAGACACAGGGAAGAGGAGGAAGGAGCGGATTCTGTGTTTGTGTGTGTGTGCTTGTATTATCATCCTCGTGGGTACCAGAAATCCCCAAAAGTCCCCACAAGGATAGTAAAACAAGGAAAATTATCCCTTCTCCCCACGTCCCCTGAGGACAAAGGCTATTTTAAACTTAGGGGCTAGGTTTAGGGTTTCAATTAGGGTTAGGGCTTAAGTTTAGGGTTAAGGTTAGGGTAAGGTTTAGGGGTTGGGGAAAATAGGATTTTGAATGGAAATAAATGTTAGGTCCCCAGAAGGATACTAAAACATATGTTGTGTGTGTGTGTTTATGTGTGTGTGTGAATAGGTGAGTGAGAAAAAGAGAGAGAGAGAAAGAGAGAGAGATGGCATGTGTGGTTTGTGTATGTATGTATGTGTGCGTGCGTGTTTATATACTTGTGTGCGCATGTGAGAAAGGAACTGAGTGTATGTGTCTTCAGCTCCAGGGCCAGGTTCCTAGCCTGCTGGTCCCTGGACTGTGGTAAATGGGGGAAGACTTTCAGCCGGCAGGAGATTTCACACTGATCTGATCCATGCTAATGTACTCCACGGGCCTTCGATTGGGTCCGGCCCCGGCTTACTGATAAGAGCCCATCTCTGTGTCCCAAATGGCTCTCATTTCCCGACATAGTGCACTACTTTTGACCAGAGCTCTGGTCAAAAGTAGTGCCTTATACATGGAATAGGGTGCCATTTGGGACGCAGCCCACCTCTGGGAGCTCAGCTCAAGATGCATGGCTTTAATAAACTGAAGGCGCTACAGTCCAGTACAGTAGAGCCGCACACTTTCAGAGGGAGAGAATAATGTTCCAAGCATGGGTTACAGTCTGGATGGATGGCCTGGAGTAGAATTCAAAGAGCAGACAATGTAAGGGTGAACTACCATCTGTGTACAGTAGGCAGACAGTAATTACGCCAAAATACTAACAATAGGGAAGCCAGGATAAATATTATTGAATCCTCAAGGAGAAATATAAGCTATACACTGTAAACATTTAGAAGTTATACACTGTATGACACTGTAAGTCATGTGTTGTACATGCTGTGTAAGAAGAAATACAAAGAGTATTCAGGAATTTATGATATTAAGAAAAGTAATTAAGATATCCTAGTGTTATGAGGAATTGTGAAGGATATAACCTAGCATGAGTCGTAAATAACACCCTATTTCCTATTTAATGCAGTACTTTTGACCAGGACCCATACGGCCTGGTCAAAAGTAGTGCACTATATAAGGAAAAGGGTGCCATTTGGGACGCACACCTAGGAAAAGAAAGAAGGGGAGATGGTACAGTACCTCTTCCCGTGCACCACGGCTCCGGGGTCCTTGGACAAGGCTTCCAGCTCCTGTACCTCATCCACCAGGGTCTTAAAGCACACCTTCTTCACACTGTTGGTCAAAAGGAGCAGACGTCACCAACAGGCATTCACAACCACATAATTGAATACAACACTATTTAATATTATTATACAGTATTATTATATTGTATGTCTATGTACCCAACATTCCAAATCAGTCCAAGTTTACATGCAATCTGAATAAATTCTGCATAAGACTATTTATAGAGGTAAAGTACAGTAGATGCCAGGTATGTAAAAACCTTATTAACTTTATTTGCCAATTGTCTGTAACAAATTGTATCTACTGTTAGTGGAATTCCTTTGGCTTTCCCAGGAAAGGCTGATTCAGATTGATTTCCCTAAACTTAATTAAATTAATGATTTAAGTCTGAGTTATACACACTTATCTAAACTTTGAATCGGTCGGTATTAGAATAGATCTCTTCAATAAATCAAATAACTATAAATGTTACATAAACTTCAGAATTTGTTATGAATCACTATAAATGTTACACCACAGATATCCTATAAATCTTCATAAATATTTGACATTTGACATTTTAGTAATTTAGCAGACGCTCTTATCCAGAGCGACTTACAATTAGTGAGTGCATACATTTTTCATACTGGCCCCCCGTAATTTAATATTCTAAATGTATTTCTACACTGAGTATACAAAACATTGCTCTTTCCATGAGATAGACTGACCAGGTGAAAGCTATGATCCCTTATTGATGTAACTTGTTAAATCCACTTCAAATCAGTGTAGATGAAGGAGAGGAGACAGGAGACAGAGTTTTAAGCCTTGAGACAATTGAGACATGGATTGTGTATATGTGCCATTCAATGGGCAAGACAAAATATTGAAGTGCCTTTGAATGGGGTATGGTAGTAGGTGCCAGGCACACCGGTTTGTGTCAAGAACTGCAACGCTTGCAGGTTTTTCATGCTCAACAGTTTCCCATGTGTATCAAGAATGGTCCACCACCCAAAGGACATCCAGCCAATTTGACACAACTGTGTGAAGCATTGGAGTCAACATGGGCCAGCATCCCTGCGGAACGCTTCCAACACCTTGTAGAGTTCATGCCCGGCGAATTGAGGCTGTTCTGAGGGCAACTCAATATTAGGAAGGTGTTCCTAATGTTTGGTATACTCAGTGTATATGTAAATGTGTTAAGACTGCATGTGATCTATTTGTGATCTAAGGAGTTTCCCTAGAAACGTATCCTAGAGCAGGACATGGAGGGGGTGGTGGTGCGTGGAGGGGAACTCACACTTTGTAGGCCATGTCAAAGACCAGGGAGGTGACAGGGATAAAGACCAGGCCCATCCAGAAGACTCCCGAACTGAACATCATGTCCGCCTGCGACACACACGCACACACAGAACAACAGGAACACATTCCTTAGGTCATTGCAAACAAAACATTCAGTGAAGCAGTAAAGGAGGTTCTCAGCAGAAAATACAAGGGTCAGCTTGCTTTACGCATTTCTATTACATTTTTTATAACAACAACAACCAAAATACCCACAACAAACAAATGAATAGGCAAAAACAATAAAACGATGGGTCAACCTAATTTGACCATAGTTATTAATCCACCGTGACTAAATGACACTCATGTTGTTCTGCTGGTCATCTATGAACTTTTGAACATCTTGAAGAACAAATCTGGCCTTAATGGCCATGTACTCTTATAATCTCCACCCGGCACAGCCAGAAGAGGACTGGCCACCCCTGGTTCCACTCAAGGTTTCTTCCTAGGTTCCTGCCTTTCTAGGGAGTTTTCTTAGCCACCGTGCTTCTACATCTGCATTGCTTGCTGTTTGGAGTTTTAGGCTGGGTTTCTATATAAGCACTTTGTGACAACTGCTGATGTAAAAAAAGGGCTTTATAAAAAAATTGATTGATTGATTGATTTGGTAAAGCTCCATGTCTGACTAGGAAGAGGCATTGGACACACAACATAATAGTGGAGAGGGGGATGGAGTAGGATGTACTGTAGCTGACCTCAGACAAAGATAAGGTCAGTTTTGCATTCAACCCTCTAATGATTAAGGTGAGCATGTAGCTAATCCTAGATCTGTGCCAACTTCTAGCCAGAGTGGAGGAAATACAGTAGGATACACGTATTCACCCTTGTTATCAAGTTTTTTGAGAGAAACATGAGAAGGGCAGAGCAGCTACACATAAAAGTCCACTGAGGTAAGTTCTAAAGGTGGTCTTTCCATGCATTGACCTATAAAAAGATGGTGGTCAACTACAGCTGTGTATGTGTATCATTGGAACCATTGCCCTTCATGCTCATTGACTTGTAGTAGTAAGGACAGCCAACTTGTATGAAAGTTCCAACAGAGAGAAAGAGCTATTGGTTATGTTATATCACCTTCAAATAATAAACACTGTCTCAATGTTTTTGTATGCAGTATCTTCTAAATGCTCTCATTATCTACAGAGTGCCAAGATAAATCCACAAATGAGATACATGAGATAACTGAGGCTGTGTCCCAAATGGCACCCTATTCTCTATTTAGTGCACTACTTTTGACCAGAGCCCTATAGAGCTCTGATCAAAAGTAGTGCACTGCACTATATAGGGAAAAAGGGTGCCGTTTAGGATGCATCCCTAAGACTGCATTGAGACCGATATGATATGCTTTGGGAAAACGCAAGCTTGGAGGCAAGTCTTCTTCATCCACCTCTGATGTAGGCCTACATCTCCCTAGATATCGTAACTCTGACATCTTAGGAGACAGCATCTTCTCCCTGGAAACCAACTTTTGTAAAAACACACAGATCGTCAGACAACAGTCTGCTGTTAAGACGAAAGTCTCAAAATGCATTGGCCCTGTCAGAACTCCAGGACTTGGGAGGTTCCATTTGTTCTGGCGAGGTGGGGGGAGACAGGGAGGGATACTCTTTGCGTGGGCCGTCCCATACAGTCGTCTGCGCAGGGCTGTGTTTGCTTTGGCCCGGCTGCATTGAAACTATCTGTCATTACATGTCAACGAGCAAAACACACGTCCCCTCACATCAGCAATTTGGGCTTTACATGCTTGTGCCACTTGTTCAAACTGCAGGGGCCCCCAGACAATGGTCTTCCTGTAATACGAAACAGGCTGGACCCTGGGACGGCGCCTTAGAGGACACACACACACACAAGGATCAGTGTCAAAGACATCAAAGGGTTCAGGTGTTCCCAAATTAGCTAATCTGTTCGCCATTACCAGCGAAATTGACTTTGATGTCTGACAAAACATCTGGGAAAGAGGAAATAACTGGAAATCAAAATGGCATTTTCCTAATGTTTAAATTGTATTGGAATGAATGATGCTTTTCTATGTTGCCCGGCAGCAACCAAAATACATAAGTCGAGGGAAAAGGACATAGGAGCACGAGACATTTTCACATATGTAAATATTTTTGTTTTCATCCAATGTATCACACATTAATAGCCGCATTTAAACTGTCTTGAAAGTCTTTTGAAAATAAACCGTGGATATAGGCTCAGCATATTAAATACATTAAATGAAGTCAACGAGCATGAAAAATAAACCAGCTCCTAATTTAAACAAACTTGAAAAATACTGTTCCAAATTTTACGAACTATATTGAAGGTCTGACTACTTCGCTAATCTGCTAATTCAACGCTCAACTTAATCTTAATAAACGTTTATCTGTTAAAGATTTGGATGACAGATACACTAAATCCTGGCCGAGCCAGCCGTGTTTGGTAGATGTTAGAAATGGCTCATTCCTGGAGGCCTATGGGAGCTGGGGTGCAGCGGGGTGAGAGTGGTATTTTTAGGACAAACTAATAAACCCATCTGGGCGGGCAGACAGTGGTGTCCGCAGTGTTTTGACAGGCCGTCAACCTCCTCACAGCCACTGGAGACACAGACATAGACACGCTCACACACAGACACACACACTCAGACACATGCATACACACACAGTCAGTTAATAAAAAAGTGGTTTGGTTAATAAAAAAGTGGTCAGATGACGCAGATGCTAAGCTACAGGACGGTTTTGTTGGCACAGACTGGAATATGTTCCGGGATTCTTCAGATAGTATTGAGGAGTACACCACATCAGTCACTGGCTTCATCAATAAGTCCATCGATGACGTCGTCCCCACAGTGACCGTACATACATACCCCAACCAGAAGCCATGGATTACAGGCAACATCCACAATGAACTAAAGGGTAGAGCTGCCGCTTTCAAGGAGCGGGACTCTAACCTGGAAGCTTATTAGAAATCCCACTATGCCCTCCGACGAACCGTCAAACAGGCAAAGAGTCAATACAGGACTAAGATTGAATCGTACTACACCGGCTCTGATGCTCGTCGGATGTGGCAGGGCTTGAAAACTATTACAGACTACAAAGGGAAGCACAGCCGCGAACTGCCCAGTGACACAAGCCTACCAGACGAGCTAAATCACTTCTATGCTCGCTTCGAGGCAAGCAACACTGAAGCATGCATGAGAGCATCAGCTGTTCTGGATGACTATGTGATCACGCTCTCCGTAGCCGATGTGAGTAAGACTTTTAAGCAGGTCAACATTCACAAGGCCGCAGGGCCAGATGGATTACCAGGACGTGTACTCCGAGCATGTGCTGACCAACTGGCAAGTGTCTTCACTGACATTTTCAACATGTCCCTGACTGAGTCTGTAATACCAACATGTTTCAAGCAGACCACCATAGTCCCTGTGCCCAAGGACACTAAGATAACCTGCCTAAATGACTAACGACCCGTAGCACTCACGTCTGTAGCCATGAAGTGCTTTGAAAGGCTGGTCATGGCTCACATCAACACCATTATCCTAGAAACCCTAGACCCACTCCAATTTGCATACCGCCCCAACAGATCCACAGATGATGCAATCTCTATTGCACTCCACACTGCCTTTTCCCACCTGGACAAGAGGAACACCTATGTGAGAATGCTATTCATTGACTACAGCTCAGCATTCAACACCATAGTGCCCTCAAAGCTCATCACTAAGCTAAGGATCCTGGGACTAAACACCTCCCTCTGCAACTGGATCCTGGACTTCCTGACTGGCTGCCCCCAGGTGGTAAGGGTAGGTAACAACACGTCTGCAACACTGATCCTCAACACGGGGGCCCCTCAGGGGTGCGTGCTCAGTCCCCTCCTGTACACCCTGTTCACCCATGACTGCATGGCCAGGCATGACTCCAACACCATCATTAAGTTTGCCAACAACACAACAATGGTAGGCCTGATCACCGACAACGATGAGACAGCCTATAGGGAGGAGGTCAGAGACCTGGCCATGTGGTGCCAGGATAACAAACTCTCCCTCAATGTGATCAAGACAAAAGAGATGACTGTGGACTACAGGAAAAAAAAGAGGACTGAGCACGCCCCCATTCTCATCGACGGGGCTGTAGTGGAACAGGTTGAGAGCTTCAAGTTCGTTGGTGTCCACATTACCAACGAACTACCATGGTCCAAACACACCAAGACAGTCGTGAAGAGGGCACGACAAAACCTATTCCCCCTCAGGAGACTGAAAAGATTTGGCATGGGTCCTCAGATCCTCAAAAGGTTATACAGCTGCACCATCGAGAGCATCCTGACTGGTTGCATCACCGCCTGGTATGGCAACTGCTCGGTCTCCGACCGCAAGGCACTACAGAGGGTAGTGCGTACGGCCCAGTACATCACTGGGGTCAAGCTTCCTGCCATCCAGGATCTCTATACCTCTAGGTCCAAAAGGCTTCTCAACAGCTTCTACCCCCAAGCCATAAGACTCCTGAACAGCTAATCATGGCTACCCGGACTAGCCTCCCTACTACTATTTTATTTTACTGCTGCTCTTTAGCCATTTGCTTTTATTTATTTATTTTTCTTAATTAACACTTTTTTATTTAATATTTTTCTTTAAAAAACTGCATTGTTGGTTAAGGGCTGTAAGTAAGCATTTCACTGTAATGTCTACACCTGTTGTATTCGGCGCATGTGGCAAATACAATTTGATTTGATTTGATTTGAGTCTATCACTGCCAAGTTAGAAACGTTCATAGCCATAGGTGAAAGAGCATTCAGTCTGCCACTGAACACGGCCTTAGATCTTGTTTGGAGCAGACGAGTAAGCTTTTCTTGCTGTTGCAGAGCTCAGTTTTGTACATCGTATAGAGGTGTAAGTCTAATTATTTGTTTGCTGTACAAATTTAGAATGTACTTATATATACAAAATGAGACCGTTGTTTCACTCTGAATATGATATGGACATGCCAATACATTAATTTGTCATATTTCACATTCTTGAAACTGTGTCTTAGTCTAAGAAAATCGATTTTTCAAAGCCATCCTTCATGCGATTGTAAAGGGACAGACAGATCCAATCGGCTCAGAGCAGAGGTGTGTGATTACTATGCCTGGATGCATTGATCAGGGGGTCTCACCACAGCGGCAGTTGACTGACCATGCCTGACAGGCCACAGTGATAGTGTGACTCCAAGAATGTAAATGCTTGCCATTGTGATGGTAAATATGAAGGGAGGACAATCAAGGCCTTGGCTATTCACCCTGTTCCTAGACCTTTGACTTTAGGAAGCATAGATAAGAGAAAAGCCAACTTTCCACACACGTGCACCGCACACACATCATTCTTACCACGTCTCTTTCTGTCATATCTGAAAGGCTGTCAAATTTGAGCCTCTGCCCTTTTCTCTGTATGGGCCTGGTTGTTGCCAAAGCCAAAGCCTCTGGATGCTAATATTCGGACACTAGCAGCCTGGGCACAGAGTCTCTTTGTGCGTCTCTTTTTTATTGGGCCCGATGAAATGAGGAGGGTTATTTAAGTAAAATCCAGTCCCAGTGAGTGATTTGGTCTACCTCCATCCATGTCCCTTTGGCTAAATTCAACTGGCTCTACTGGACCATACTGTACAATTTGGATGGAAGTTGGAACAGAGGGGTAGACCGTTCTGCTATGGAGCTAAGGAGCTAGGGGAAGGGCTATTGGGTGATTTGAGCATGCAGATTTGTATCCTACTGCAAATTGAGGCTGGATGTGTATGTTTGTGGCCAAAAATGACCCCCAACCCCTCATGACCAGCTTCATGCTACCGCCCCAAACAAAATCCTTAGGGTTATTGTGTGGTCGGATAGGCTGTAAACACAGCCAGTCCCTGAGGATTTGATGGAAGAGAAAAGAGATGGAGGCGGCTCACTTAATGCCCTGGAAGGAGAAAGAGAAGAGAGAGAGGGGGGAGAAAGAGAAAAAGAGAGAGTGGGATCAAGAAAGAGAGAGAAAGAGCGAAAGAGTGAGTGAAAGCAAGAGAAGGAGAAAGAGAGAGAAAGAGAGCAAGAGTGTGTGAGAGGAGCCTTGATTGGATGTGGCACACAAATCTACAAATTCCCCATGTCGTCATTGCAACGCAAAAGCAAATGAGGAGTTCACAATCCCTTAACACCCCCACCCCACTAAGCTTTTACTATGGAAAACAAAAACTTGGCTTGCTCAGTTGGGTCCATCTTTTTACTCTCTGTGTGTCGCCTCACAATAGCACTGAGATATCCTGAAGAAAAACGGAGGGAAAGAACGCTAACAAAAACAGTTATAGCTTAACAGAAGTCATCCAGGCGCAACTGTACGATAGTGATTTACAACGCGACTCAATAATTATTAAAACGGTGCGAGAGATAAATTAGCTGACAGACAAAAGTGTCATTTTGACATGTATTAGATCACGACAAGTATGCCCATATTCATGGCCATTTGAATTAAAATGCATAAACGCATTGAAATAACACACACACTGCAAAGTCTCACACCATGGACTAGCCTGTGCCTTCCACAGCCACTTTAGTCTTCCATAAATCATTGGGTCTGGGCTTCTAATGGATGTGTGTGTGTGTGTGGTTTTAATGACAGAGCAGAGGGGACTAACTTACGACACATGCGCGACTCTTAAAGAAAGCCCTTAAGTATTCCGAAAACAGAGAGACAGAGGGAAAACAGTGGAGGGAGACAAAGTCAACTCAACAGCAATGCATGAAGTGCTTCTCTAATTCCATCATAGAGCCTTTCACAGGTTTTAATTGCGAGGAACCTTGTGGGAGCTGGGAGCCTGATGTCCCTGTTGGTTTTGGAGAGAGACAGCAGAGCGGAGAAATAGCGAGGAGAACTGTCATCGGTTGCCCTGCTACTTCAATCGCACGTAAGCGTGGATATACTCGCACACATGAACACACATCGCACTGGCGCGCGCACACACACACACATACACATACACTCAAAACACACACTCAAAACACACACACACTACGGGTAGTCTCTGTTCTGTGGGTCCTAGCGTGGTCTTGGCTGTGTTGAGCTGGCATGTGAGTGGAGAGAGGTTGGGTTATCTAGCGATAGGTGGAGCTGGCCCCTCAGTGCCATTCTGAAGGGGCATTCTTGTGCTTCAAAGCAAGTGAGTCCTGATGAGAGGCCTGGGCTGGAGTCTCTACAGGTGCCCTTGAATATAAATAATTCCATCCAAAAAAAAACATGTGAGTAAAGAGGAAGGGAGTGAAGTTGTGCATCCCAAATGGCACCATATTCCCTACATAGTGAATTACTTTTGACCAGAGCCCAAGGAGACGGAGAAGTCACTTCATATAACCCCACAAGTACTCTTAAAGTTTCATGACTAGGACTAATCAAAGTCATCCAAAACGCTTTGTGAATCTGCAAGTTTCCGAAAAGTTGACTTTTAGTGGAGTTTTTTTGAGGATACCGATGACATGAGAATTGTGAAGAAAACCTTTAACTTCAACTCTTTCTCCATCTGTCATCCTACTTACATTACGTCTGTAGTATGCCAAAAATATTCACCTCTCCCTTCTGAGTAAAACACTCCTAGACACTATGAGGAGAACGTGTTGCTTATCACTTGGCAGAAACTGTGTGAGGAATGTGATGCGCGCCTGTTGAGTGCTGAATCCAATGTGTCAATGACAAGCGGGTCAAGTGTTTGTGAGAGTGAGTGGAAGTACTCCCCACGCAGACGCTGGCAAATGGAAAGAAAATGTCGGAAGAAAGGCAGAGAGATATCTATCCTCTATCGTTCTTAGAGCTGTGTTGTTGGTAGCGAAAGGAAATCGTATAATCTCGTAAGGTGTTCATAAGCCTCTTACTATAGCAGCTTATGTAATTCCTCTTTTTTCAACCACACTGTTGTGAGACTAAAATGGATGTGGGGTTTGGGCCTGGACCAACTTAGCGTCTTGTAAAACTTAAAATGTCTGTTTCAATATGTTTAAAGGATGGTCCAAGGCACCTGTCTTGTCATTCGCCCAAGTAAAGCTCAAACTCACTGACACCGACAAATGCTATTGCATCAAGTCGGCCATTTCTCAACGTCTCTTCTTGGAGGAGGTGAATTGTGGAGTCAGTGGGTGCAGAAACTGTAGAACAAGTAGTGGTGTCTATATCATCATGGCCCTCAGGCATTCCAAGCACAGAGAGAAAGAGAGAGAGAGAGAGAGAGAGAGAGAGAGAGAGAGAGAGAGAGAGAGAGAGAGAGAGAGAGAGAGAGAGAGAGAGGGCAAAGAGAAAGAAAGAGAGCAAGAGTAAGTGAGAGATCAACAGAGATCAACAGAGATTGAAACAAAGAGCTTGAGAGATAGAGGTGTTTGGAGAACGTGTAGAGACCTCCTGTCTCCCTCTCCCTCTGCCACTAATTGTTATTCAAAACAATTTTGATGTATTACAAATACAATACTTCGACTCAAATACCCACTATAATATAACTTTGCTGACAACACCACCACAAATATGACTTCAGGATGTAGTGTTGAATCGCTCCTCCGTACCGCTAAAAGGCTTCACAGTCACCTGCATATATGATGGTGACGTAACACAAACAGTGCGCTAATTGGCCCAATTAAGTCATTAAGCAACACAACCCAGAATCCGTCAGTCCGACAGACTAGACCCCCTCTGGCCCTCTGTTGAAAAACACACTGTTGGGTTACGGAGTAGACACATCGAAACCTTCCCACCAACCACAGTCAGTAACAGCAATGAGTTAGGAGTACATTACGTTGAGTTATGAATGATGAGATCATATAGAAGGGTTTATCACTGCTGGGGGGCATACCCAGCAAACAGTGAACGTTCCTACAACGTTTGTTCATTTTCCAATGGAGCCCTTACTAATGTTCTGGGAATGCAGAGGTTATCAGACATGTTTTGCTGGGTATAAAGGAGGGTGGAGGTTAAGTTGAGTGTTTACCTCGCCAGACATGTCTGGAGCCAGAGAGATGAGTGGCCACAGAGAGGAGTAGATACCGAAGAACACCACCCACAGGCTGATGCTGCCCCAGATGGCAATGTGACTGAACTGGAGGAGACAGAACATGTTACTTCCTTTTGTCTATATATATATATATATATATATATATATATATACAGTGTGGGAGGTGAGGGTGAGGGTTACAATAGTAAATACAGTGTACTTACCATCTTATTACAGAGTAATTACACAATGACTAAGTTATTCTGCTAGTAGTTCTGGTGTAAGGCCTAAGTAATGTGAATGGTGGCCAAGAGTTGATGGAGGAAGAGGAACAGATGGATGGAACATATCCTTATGGACCTTTTAAGATCTGCCTTTTTTTCAATTGTTACAGGTGTCTGTGGTAAGAGAAAGATGATGGAAAGACAATATATTGTAGTTCGAGGAGAGAGCCTACCATAGTCCAAGACGAGGTCTCTAGGCCAGCTTTGAGGCACACGGTGATGACCACAAACTAGGAAACAGAAAATCACAAAGTGAAATGCTTAACCAACATCTTCCCTTCCATTGAGAATAAGTTCAAATCAAAGTCACCAGAAGTTCGACACGGAAAGGCACTGACAGATAGCATTTTATATATACGAATGCTAACGGTTTATTCTTTGGCTTAGAACTTGAAATATATATTTTTACTTATACACAGTAATGACACTTCGGTCAAGAAATAAAGAAACCAAAACAAACTGATAAATAGTCTCACAGCAAGACACTGAGGCTAACACAAGGTTAGTGATAGAGACAAAGATGTTTTCATTCTCAAAGCTAAAAAAAGCAGAGAATGCCAAGTGTACAAAGTTGTCATCAAGGCAAAGGATGGCTATTTGTAGAATCTGAAATATAAAAATATATTTTGATTAGTTTAACACTTTTTTGGTTACTACATGATTCCATATGTGTTATTTCATAGTTTTGATGTCTTCATTACTATTCTACAATGTAAAAAATAGTAAAAATAAAGAAAAACCCTTGAATGAGTAGGTGTGTCCAAACTTTTGACTGGTACTGTATATAGCACAATCGGAAAGTATTCAGACCCCATTTTGTTTACGTTACAGCCTTATTCTAAAATTGATTAAATGAAAAAAGTTCCTCATCAATCTACACACAATACCCCCTAATGACAAAATGAAAACAGGTTTTTTGACATTTTAGCAAATGTATTAAAAACAAAAAACAGAAATACCTTATTTACATAAGTATTCAGACCATTAGCTATAAGACTCGAAATTGAGCTCAGGTGCATCCTGTTTCAATTGATCATCCTTGAGATGTTTCTACAACTTGATTGGAGTCCACCTGTGGTCAATTAAATTGATCGGACATTATTTGGAAAAGCACACACCTGTCTATATAAGGTCCCACAGTTGACAGTGCATGTCAGAGCAAAAACCAAGCCATGAGGTTGAAGGAATTGTCCGTAGAGCTCAGAGACAAGATTGTGTCGAGGCACAGATCTGGGGAAGGGTACCAAAAAATTTCTGCAGCATTGAAGGTCCCCAAGCACACAATGGCCTCCATCATTCTTAAATGGAAGAAATTTGGACTCATCAAGACTCTTCCTAGAGCTGGCCGCCCGGCCAAACTGAGCAATCATGGAAGAAGGGCCTTGGTCAGGGAGGTCACCAAGAACCCGATGGTCACTCTGACAGAGCTCCAGAGTTCCTCTATGGAGATGGGAGAACCTTCCAAAAGGACAAACATCTCTGCAGCACTCCACCCATCTGAATGTCCTTGAGTGGCCCAGCCAGAGCCCGGACTTGAACCCGATCAAACATCTCTGGAGAGACCTGAAAATAGCAGTGCAGCGATGCTCCCCATCCAACCTGACAGAGATTGAGAGGTTCTGCAGAGAAGAATGGGAGAAACTCCGCAAATACAAGTGTGCCAAGCTTGTAGCGTCATACCCAAGAAGACTCAAGGCTGTAATCGCTGCCAAATGTGCTTCAACAAAGTACTGAGTAAAGGGTCTGAATACTTATGTAAATGTGATATTCTTTTTTATTCATTTTTGTATAAATATTCGACATTTTCTCAAAAACAGTTTTTGCTTTGTCATTATGGGGTATTGTGTGTAGATTGATGAGGGGGAAATAACAATTTAATTCATTTCAGAATAAGGCTGTAACGTAACAAAATGTGGAAAAGGTCAAGTGGTCTGAATACTTTCTGAATGTACTGTATAAAGGGAAAAGGTGCCATTTCAGATGCATACTTACTGTATAAACCATATTGCCTAAGAGGAGATAGTCCGGGGTCTTTCCATTTCCAAAGACCGTATCTGTGAAAAGGATCAACATGAAAAGCTTTTAGACATATGGTCATGTCCCTCTTCACGACTCCTCCCAACTCGGACCAGGGCAGTGTTTTTAAGAAACAGAGTTCCATTAGACCAGGGGAAATTATGTGAAATCTCTGCTATGGAGTAAACAACCAGATAGCAAACCAGGGCATTGACTGTGTCTGCATCCCAATGGCACCCTATTCCCTATACAGTGCACTACTTTTGACTAGAGCACTATGGGCCCTGGTCAAAAGCAGTGCACTATAAACAGAAAAGAGTGACATTTGGGATGCAGACTGTGAGTACAGTACTCTATACAGTATGTGCAGGCGAGCATAATGCCCCATTAGAGCACGCAGTGAGATGTAACACTGGACACTGGAGTATAACAGCACTGATGAGTTGCCGTACTGTGTGTGTGTCAAAGCATGTCCATTGCATATGGTTGATGGAGCAACCTGATGGAGCAATCAGGAAGGAGTCTGGACTATGGTTGACATGACCAGTTGAAATCAAAAACAAGAATTACTCTAGTAATCTTTGACAGACAGAATTAGTCTAATAATCTTTGACAAATGAAGTATTCAAATAAAAGCAAACTGCTACTCAAATACCAGTAAAGGGATGGGTCAACTTTTGTTCCGTTTCTAAAAGATTAGGCTCCTTGATTGTACTGGAAGTATTTACTTTAACACTCCCTAATTTCTGAGTGTCTGCCAAGTGAATAAAACGTACATGTAAATAAACATATCCTCCAAATTCAACACATGGGGGTGCTTGGGGAGAGTGTTAGAGCAGGGGAGAGAGAGAGAGAGAGAGAGAGAGAGAGAGAGAGAGAGAGAGAGAGAGAGAGAGAGAGAGAGAGAGAGAACAAGAACGACAAAAGGAGAGAGAGAGAGTCTGGCTCCCCTTTGCTTCCTGCTAGTCATATGCCTATGTGTGTGATGAGGCCTTGCTGACAGCCTGTCAGTCAGACTGAAGGGGCTTCTCTCTGGGCTTTGTTTGGAGAGCAGGCCCAAGCCTGTGTGGTCTTCTGTGTCCAGCAGCCAAGACGCCATAGTATCAGAAATACACATTCTCTCGGTGTGAGCTGAATACTGTAACTTGTGTGTACTGTCTGTGTGTATGTTCAAGTGTGTGTGTGTGTGTGTGTGCACGTTCGCCTACATGTGCAGGCACTTTTATGTTCAAGCATGCCGATGATTATAATTCATGAGGCTAGTGGGTAAAAAGAAAAGTTATCGAGACAAGGTATGTGTGTTAACTGGACCCCACTCCACCCAGAGCCTGTAGAGACTAGAAATCCAGGCTCAGTCCCAAATAGCACCCTATTCCCAATATAGCACACTACCTGGTCAAAAGCAGTACACCATATACCAGGGATCATCAACTATACTGAAGAAAAATATAAACGCAACATGTAAAGTGTTGGTCCCATGATTCATGAGCTGAAATAAAAGATCCCAGATATTTTCCAAACGTACAAAAAAATATATCTTTCAAATTTGGTGGACAAATTTGTTGACATCCCTGTTAGTGAGCATTTCTCCTTTGCCAAGATAATCCATCCACCTGACAGGTGTGGCATATCAAGAAGCTGATTAAACAGAATGATCATTACACAGGTGCACCTTGTGCTGGGGACAATAAAAGGCCTCTCTAAAATGTGCAGTTTTGTCACACAACACAATGCCACAGATGTCTCAAGTTTTGAGGGAGCATGCAATTTACTGCAGGAACGTCCAACAGAGCTGTTGCCAGATAATTGAATGTTAATTTCTCTACTATAAGCCGCCTCACAACCGTAGACCACGTGTAACCACGCCAGCCCAGGACCTCCACATCGTCTGAGGAGCCTATGCCCTCCCAGCCCACCCATGGCTGTGCCCCTGGCCAGTCATATGAAATCCATAGATTAGGGCCTAATAAAATGTATTTAAATTGACTGATTTCGTTCTATGAACTGTAACTCAGTAAAATTGTTGCATGTTGAGTTTATATATATTGTTAGTATAGATTCAGCTTTGGGACGATTATTTTCTTCAGAGGATGGTCAGGGTTCGGAACATAATTACAAATCATTTCTAGAGTGCAAATTGACCGCAAGAATCCCAAACATATATAATATTTGACTAAAACACAATCATTTCAAACCTTGCTTACATTTGTATACGATCACATACAGTATATTTTTGGACCCAAAATAATATCTGCGGGCCAAATTCGGCTGTTGGGGAACCCTGCCATATACCGTAGCGAATAGGATGGCATTTGGGACAGAACCTTAAAAGACAGATGAGTCTCTGCGAGGTTAGGGTTAGAGTCTCTGGGAGGTGCTTACCGTGCTGGAAGGCTATGAGGGGGACCCAGAAGAGGATGACCGAGTGGAAGAGGCCATTCAGACAATGGGCCCAGAAGACCTGCAAGGAGGGGGGAGAGAAGGATGGAGGAGGGAGGGGGTTGGGTGGGTTCCAGGGAGAAAGAAGGAGAGAAAAAGCATGAGAAACCCGGGTTGCCGACCGAACCTGCCTAGCGACCTCTGACCTGGGCTCTTTGTCCTGGTTCAGCACTCGGCTAAGTGGCGGTTTTGTAGGGCCTCCTCTCTGAATAGCCACCCAGCTGACAGACACTTTGTATATCCTCCTGTGTGTTGGTGTAGTACTGGAGGAGAGAGGGTGCAGGGATGTGTGTAGGTTTGGTGTGTGTGTGTGTGTGTGTGTGTGAGCACGCAAGTCAGGTGGGGCTATGTCAGTGTGATGGTATGTGTTGGGGGGTAGTTTTCCTTTCCCACTCCTTTCCCGTACTCTCCCCCCTCCCCCCTCATCAATTTCAATAGTCTTTCATATGTGAATTTAAGATGGCACAAAAATAAATGAAGAGGGCACTGAACAAGCAGAAACCAATCTAAAAACACAGAGAAGTTGACATGTTTGAAGTGGATTAACTTTAGTAAGCTGAAAAAGTAGGAGCACACAGCAGTGTGTGCGTGTATGTGCGTTGTGCGTTTCCACACAGGCGACTCTACAGTATGTGTGTGTGTTGTTGGTGTGTGTGTGTGTGTGTGTGTGTGTGTGGTCCTTGGATGAGACGTTTAAATCAATTGTCCTTTTTCCAAAAACACTGTTTCAAATTTACATTATGCACAGATGTCACCAAACACAACACTAAAGGGTGATGTAGCATGAAATGGCCGTGAAATCAACTCTGCCAAAAAAGTCTGTATTCATGCCCCCTCGTTCCCCTACCCTGCTCCATTCATTGCTCTGTTATTCCTAAAAGTTTTCAATAGATTTTTATAAAACATTCTGAGCACATTCTGAGTTGGGGGGGGGGAATCAGTTTACTCTCTCAAGATTTTCAATTTTTAATACATTTATGGCAGGATACTAGACCAATTTAATGTCACACTTCCGTAAAAAGCACCCTCGACAACTTATAAAATTGGTCTATGAAAACACAATTTCTTATTTAAGACAAATTATAAAAACCAACCGGCTTATTAAAGTTAATGTGTTTTTCACAGGTTTTAAGCAATTGTAGAATAACGATCAACTCTTAGTGCTCAAGACAAACGGAAAAAGAGAGTGGTGGTATGCAGCATGGTTTTCCTTGTACTTCAACCTGGTTCTCTTAGGGCAGATTCCCTAATGGTGTACCCCTGCCATGTGTTGTTAGTATGGCAACTGGGGATTCTGTGGTTGTAAGTAAAGTCTGCGTTATGGGTTATATGCAGTACAAATGTGAAAATGTCTCAGTATATCTGAAAACATTAAATAAAAGGTAGGCTATATACAAAAAGTAATAACAACGGCAGGTTTTTTCAAAACACTACTGAGCACAAAGAAATGGATGATGAAACCAAGTGTTGTAGACCACAGGTGGGGAACGGGAGAAGAGGAGGGGAGAGAGAATAGAGGAGTATCCAGAGAGTGTCTTCTTCTGGGCCCTATGTCATACCTTGGCCTCTGGCCTGACCTCCTCTCCTTTGCTATCGTCAAAAGCCCTGGGACCCACCCCCACCCACCTCAACTCCCACCCTGCAAACAGGCCCCCACATTGGGGCAGGGATTGGCAGGAGTACCCCCTCCTCACCCCCCTCTCTCTGTGGTTCAATGTAGGATCAATTATCTCCAATGCTACAATTACACGTTTAAACCCAATTAGCCTCCCACTGGCAAGTAACCTACAACTTTCCCCTCTGTCCCTGACTCCACCACCCCTACCCCCAACCCCACCTCACATCACCCTCCTCAATCTGCCCCAACACAACACAGTATGGAACAACTAGCTTCTCTAAATGCCCAGCACCCTAATGAATGCTAATTCAATCAATAAATGTTCATTTGTCATAGTGAAGTCTCACTCCCCACCCCCCTCTGCTGTATCCCGGTAGGTTGCTAAGAACTCCGCCGTGAATGCCTGCCTGTGTCTGTCCGTGCCCTGGCTAAAAGATTCGGGCCCATTGTGCAGCGCCTAATTGCTTAAAAAAGCATGAAAGGATGTAGTTTATATCGGGCCAAATATTTTCCTGTCCTTCCTCTTTAATGCTGTTGCGCAGAGAGAGGGAGGAGGGGAGGGAGGGAGGGAGAGGGGGAGGAGTAAATGGGGGGAAATGGTGAGGCGGTGTAATTACTGGGGGCCACATCGGGGGACTGAGGTTTATTAAGAGTGTCAGGAAAATGTCATTAAAAGTGAAAGGGGACAGTGGTGCGGGCGGGCGACGCCTGAAATATTTCACACCCTTCCCCGGCCCTCTCTCTTTCACTTCCTCAACGCAAATGCCTTTAATTCGCCCAGACAGTATCTGTTGTGTACAAAAGAGCCAGGCGTGCAGAAAGAAAGGGATTTCGGGCAAATTCCAGCTGGATTTTCGCACCTCGCCTCGGGCCATGCAGCAGGGACATTTTTCGGAGGGAAAGCGTGGACAGGCCAGTGAAAACACCACGGTGACCTGGCCAAGTCATCATTACAGGGCTTTAGCAACTCAGGGGTCAAACAAAAATGGAGGAAAACCAATTTGAATCAACAGTTTTTTGACAGTCTTGATTTGCGGGGCGACTTGAAACCACAAAACTGAGACTGCGGCCTGCCTTGCACAATGTCACCCTGCTATTCCCTGGAGGTTCATATAACACTTGGCCATATGGAGCCCTTCTCTCACCCAAACAGAAATAAAAGCTGTGAGGGGGACATGCCGGCCAAGGTCCACGGGTCAACTCTAACTGTGAGGTGACTGGCCCCCTCTCTGGGGAGAGTGAGACCAGTAGACTGGGGATATCTTATTTACAGTACTTAGGCTAAGCCAGACCAGACCAGGCAGAAGGCCTACAGTTCAAACAGCCCCTTGCTTAAAAAAAAAATCTTAATTTTCCGCAGTTGATGCCATCACATCCTGACAGCAGAGCACACTCTCTCCCTTTAACCTTCCCCCTCCTCCACCCCTCCTCCACCCCTCCTCCACCACCCCTCTCCCTGGCCCGCTATCTCCCCACTCCCCCTGTCCCTGTCGCCCCTGACCTCCATGGCCACTCAGGCTTTAATCTGTCTCCATGCGGCACTAACCGGGTCTCCACGCCTGTAAAGTAAGGGGGCTAGGGGGGCCGTGGATGGGGGAGTTGAAGGCCATAGAAGGGGGGCAGGCGTGGAGAAGGGGAGACATCTTTCTTAACAGACAGCAGGGGAAAGCTAACGGACAACCCCCCCAATAGACAGAGAGACAGGCAGGCAGACACCCTCTGACCACTGCACCTGTTAAGACTGGTGATCATTATGTGTAGAGACCCCACGGGTCAGACACAGGCCAATTGGGGCAGACGAGCAGATTCACGCTCTGTCATTAGACTGACCTAAAATCAGTTTGGAGCATTTCGGAGCTCATCAGGTCTCCATTGTGTGTAAAATATGTCAATTCGGAGACAGAACAAAGGTTAGAAGAAAAAAAAACTGCCTGGTTAATTGCAGTCTTATATCTCCCTTTTTGTTTGTTGGTGCCAAGTAAACCTTAGTAAACCTATTTAAGCTTAGAAAATACTTAATATTGTACTACACTATGAATGGAAATGTAGCCCAGACAAACAACATGAGGGGTAAAAGTGGAATGACAGAAAATGAAGGAATCGTTGAGACAATGCTCCTCTAACTTTCTTCAATGCAGCACAAACAGACACATGACCTACCTTGGTGTTGAAGCCCATGGCATTCTGGGAGGTTTTGTAGAGTTCCGGGTACTTCAGCATGTTCTCTTTCCTGCATGAGCGTTCAAATATTCCCAGAGTGAGAGGAGGCAGAGCGGTGAAAATCTAAACACACAAACACACATGTCAAATTAAACCACAACATTTTGCTTTGTTCAACATTTCCCCTCACAAAACCCAGAAGTGAGGATAAAGGTAGTGAACTCAAAAGCCCAGCAGATTCAACTAACGGCCTGTTAGCAAAGACACTATCAGATACAATTTCGGATGGGAAAACAGTCTTATCGTTCCTCAGTGAGTAACCCAATAAAAGCCAGGGTTTTCATAATCACAAGGACCTTCAAGACATAATTGATTCCATTACTGCATTAGTGAAAACAAGGACACTACTGATGTCCTATTAGGCTAAGTATTTGCCCCATTTCTGATTTTCTACATTTTTGAATATTTTGGACACTGAATTTTATCAGATCTTCAACCAAAACATAATATTAGATAAAGGGAACCTGAGTGAACAAATAACACAACATATTAATATTTTTGTTCATTTATTTAATAAACAAAGTTATGTGACACCCAATGCCCCTGTGTGAAAAAGTAATTGCCCCCTTTCCCTCATTAAAATGCAAATCAATTTATAACATTTTTGACATGTGTTTTTCTGGATTTTTTTGTTGTTATTCTGTCTCTCACTGTTCAAATAAACTTACCATTAAAATTATAGACTGATCATTTCTTTGTCAGTGGGCAAACGTACAAAATCAGCAGGGGATCAAATACTTTTTTCCCTCACTGTATATAAAACCATTTTCCTTAAAGTAAATTTGTTTTGAGATTACTAATGTTACTGTTCCCATTATAACAACAAAAATACATAAATACATGTAATTTTGTCCTTGAGACATATAATTAAAATACTGTAGAATTCCCTTCATTCCTATGGAGGACTGCTCCTACTGGGGAGTGCCAATATGGCCGACCAGTGGCTTCAAAACCTCTTATATACATCATTGTCCATTAGACAGTTCATGCCCAGTTCATCCCACATTTGTGAACATTGTAAAAAGTTTTTTGTTTTGTAAACAGTGTACACAGCCTATTGAAAACGAAAAACATTTTTGCTTAGCTTTTGCATTGTTCGCCCATATGCTGAAGTTATGACTTGCCCTGATTCTATTGAGTGGAGGCTGTTGAGCGTGTAGAACTTTTGGGGTTTTATTTTGTTTTGACACGCTCCATTCATATGCAAAAGCCATCTCGGACTAACATCTGCGACGCCCTTGACTAGTTAGCAGGTATTTTCGCGGAGCTAGTGTAATTTCTATGTGGTATTGTAATGTTTCTCTCTGCAGCAGCTGCTGAGAGAGAGAGAGAGAGAGAGAGAGAGAGAGAGAGAGAGAGAAAGAGGAGTGAGAGAACAGAGAGAGAAGTGTCAGTATTGTGTAGCTGGGGGACTCTGCGGGTCAGTGGTGTGAGTTCCACACTGGCCCATCTGCAGGCTCCAGACTGCAGGCCGGAGCTTGTGGAACGCAGGAGGACATGCTCCACTGCATGGGCTCGTTTCTCATTCAGGGTGCCGAGCATCGCCATTGAGGGGCGGATTCGGCCCACTGCCTCCAACAGACTCCCACAGAGCCTGTGGAATTTCCCCGCTTTTTAGGTAAAGTGAAAGAGTAGCCCCCCCCACTGTTGTTGCTTTAAAATGTTGGCAGTTTATTAAGCAATCTTCGAAAACAGCCATGTTCTAATTTCTTGGTCGACGATGAAATCACTTTCATTTGCGTTCCGTCAACGGTGTGCGGGCACTTCTCTCCTCTCACTTCCCTCACTCGCTTTGGTTTATGGACGTGGGTATATCTTTAATAAACCGCATAAAGCTACACGTCAGCTCCTTCAAACCCAAACAATGTACTATTCACATTTTTTGTTACAGTGTTAAAAATACACATTCTTTCCACCCGTTCGCTCCTTTCATTTGACAGACAGGAAACATAGGTTAATTAGACCCAAAAACCGAACCCTGTGGGACACCAGTTGCTCAGAGCTGGTTATGTGCTGCTCTATTCAACCTGTTCCTTTATCATTCACAAATGACAACCTTCGCTAACTACACTCTTTGGGGCATGCAAGGCTGTTGTTCTTTCCACATTCAGGACATAGTTCGGGGCACGAGGGGAATATGGACTTAACAACAGGTCATAAATAAATGGGAAATGTCTCAGGATATTGATGATATGGTCCTGCAGTAAGGGGAACACGTCTGGGGTGCCACAGAAAATATGTTTTCTTGCCAGAGAGCGACAGGGGAGGGGAATTCTAAAACAGACTCTTTCACAGTAATGGAGAGAGGAGAGTAAATCACATAAACACTCACCACATTGTACAGGCCGATGCACCAGCGTTCAAACAGAATCTGACCAGAGAATCCATTGACAAAGGCAAACCAGATCTGAAGGAGACAAAACAGCAGAGCAAAGAGGACATTAGAAGTGCAACATTGAGGAAGAAAGGGATGCAACTTTTTTGTCATTATTGACAAGGGTACATCTTTTTAAGAAAACACATTCTGCTAACACAAAGGCAATGGTATCACGTCTTTACCCAAGGTTGATCTTGTATTTTTCAGATATCACATTTATCTTTTAAGCATTTTTTCAAGCAGTAGATAGGGTTCCTTCATCAGTGATGAGAGAATAACAAAGTTAAAATGTGGTCTCGTCCCCTTCCCGTTTGGATGCATGTTTTCCATCACTTGACATTAAGCAATATGCCCTTTACTGCACTCTTAGAAAAAAGGGATAGGGTTCTACCAAGAACCGCTTTGATCTGAAGAACCCTTTTTGGAAGACAAGGGTTCTTTGTAAGGCAAAGGGTTCTACCTGGAAAAATCTCTGAAGCTGGAGACTCTTATCTCCCTCACTAACTTTGTTGTCAGAGCAGCTTACCAATCACTGCACCTGTACACAGCCATTCTGAAATTAGCCCACCCAACTACCTCATCCCCATATTGTTATTTATTTTGCTAATTTGCACCCTAGTATCTCTATTTGCACATCATCTTTTGCACATCTATCATTCCAGTGTTAATATGAAATTTTAACTATTTTGCGCTATGGCCTATTTATTGCCTTACCTCCATAACTTACTACATTTGCACACACTGTATATAGATTTTCTATTGTGTTATTGACTGTATGTTTTGTTTACCCCATATGTAACTCTGTGTTGTTGTTTTTATCGCACTGCTTTGCTTTCTCTTGGCCAGGTCGCAGTTGTAAATGAGAACTTGTTCTCAACTGGCTTACCTGGTTAAATAAAGGTGAAAAAAAACAAAAACAAGAAAACAATTTAACATCCTAAGAACCTTTTGGAATAAAGGGTTCTTTGATGATTCTTTGGAAGGCAAGAAGGGTTCTACATAGAGCCATATGTCCAAGCATGCTCTACTGCAAGGTGATTTTCAGAATTGTTTGTTTTAATATCTGTGTTTTTGCATGTACAATTATTGGTTGATAAATGTTATGCTCCACAAAGATAAATAACATACATTTATATAAACTAATCCATTCTGTTAGTAGTTATACTTATTGCACCCATTACTGGGATGATTGTTCCAGTTTAGATAATTGAGGTAGTCTCAGTATTCAATCTTCCCTACCCTGGAAGTCATTCTGAATGCAGGATGCGGGTGATAAAAAAATCCATTTGTTGGATATCCTAACTCTGGTTGGATTCCAATAGGAATTACAAATCACTTTGCAAGCCAGCATAATGTGACTTGCAGGCCTGATGTGGCCTGTAAAGCAGGAGTTATCTAACACCACTGTGTTAGGGTATAACTAGGCCCTCAAAGAAAGGCCTTATGATATATGTAATTACTGTCATAAATAATTAATTTTAAATGCTAATAAGGCTGGTGGAACCGTTCATAGACGGTTCTAGGAAGAACCCTCCAAAGATGAAATGGTTCTCGGTAGAACCCTTCATAGAGGGTTCTAGCAAGAACCTTGAGATAACAAAAAGGTTCTTGGTAGAACCCTTTATAGAGGGTTCTAGGCAGAACCCTTCATATAGGGCTCTAGGTAGAACCATATACAGGGGGTTCTATGAAGAACTATGGGGACAAACCGAAGAACCCTATATGGTTCTATTTAGCATATTTTTTCACGGTTCAAATGTTTAAAATGTGAGTGCAGATGAGTGCATCGGTCTGCGAGACCCCCAACGGATCCAAATGTAGCATGCATCGGCCAGGAAATCGAGTCAAAGTGTACGAATTGCTGGTTCACAGATTTTTTTGCTCAAATTACTTTCTACCTTCTGAAAATACCTCTCACCCTTTGTGACAACTGCGTCCTCTCCTTCAGTGTTGAACTAAGCATGTAATTGTGTTGACAGTCATTGACCTACAACAGTGGAGGCTCCTCAGAGGAGGAAGGGGAGGACCATTCTCCTCAGTGAGTTTCATAAAAATAAAAATAGTGAAACATTAAAGAAGTTATCCTTTTTAGATAAAACTATACTAAATATATTCACGTCACCAAATAATTGATTAAAACACACTGTTTTGCAATGAAGGTCTACAGTAGCCCCAACATCATTCTGTAGGGTAGCACCCTGGTGTAGCCGGAGGACAGCTAGTTTTTGTCCTCCTCTGGGTACATTGACTTCAATACAAAACCTAGGAGGCTCGTGGTTCTCACCCCCTTCCATAGACTTACACAGTAATTATGACAACTTCCGGAGGATGTCCTCCAACCTATCAGAGCTCCACCCAATCAAAGGATCAGAGAATTAATCTAGTACTGAAAGCATAAGCTACAGCTAGCTAGCAGTACAGTGCATACAATATGGTGAGTAGTTGACTCAAAGAGAGAGAAAGACAATAGTTGAACAGTTTTGAACAAATTAATTTCTTCAAAAATGAAGGAGAAAAAAGAGAGAGAGAGAGAGCGAGATATATACAGTGGGGGAAAAAAAGTATTTAGTCAGCCACCAATTGTGCAAGTTCTCACACTTAAAAAGATGAGAGAGGCCTGTAATTTTCATCATAGGTACACGTCAACTATGACAGACAAATTGAGAATTTTTTTCTCCAGAAAATCACATTGTAGGATTTTTAATGAATTTATTAGCAAATTATGGTGGAAAATAAGTATTTGGTCACCTACAAACCAAATGATCACAAGAACGGTGAGCAAAAATCACAGAACCACACGGGGGGACCTAGTGAATGACCTGCAGAGAGCTGGGACCAAAGTAACAAAGCCTACCATCAGTAACACACTACGCCGCCAGGGACTCAAATCCTGCAGTGCGAGACGTGTCCCCCTGCTTAAGCCAGTACATGTCCAGGCTCGTCTGAAGTTTGCTAGAGTGCATTTGGATGATCCAGAAGAGGATTGGGAGAATGTCCTCCAAACACGACGAGTTGAGTTTTTACCAAAAAGTTATATTTTGGTTTCATCTGACCATATGACAAAGAATGCTGAGTTGCATCCAAAGAACACCATACCTACTGTGAAGCATGGGGGTAGAAACATCATGCTTTGGGGCTGTTTTTCTGGAAAGGGACCAGGACGACTGATCCGTGTAAAGTAAATAATGAATGGGGCCATGTATCGTGAGATTTTGAGTGAAAACCTCCTTCCATCAGCAAGGGCATTGAAGATGAAACGTAGCTGGGTCTTTCAGCATGACAATGATCCCAAACACACCGCCCGGGCAACGAAGGAGTGGCTTCGTAAGAAGCATTTCAAGGTCCTGGAGTGGCCTAGCCAGTCTCCAGATCTCAACCCCATAGGACATCTTTGGAGGGAGTTGAACGTCTGTGTTGCCCAGCGACAGCCCCAAAACATCACTGCTCTAGAGGAGATCTGCATGGAGGAATGGGCCAAAATATCAGCAACAGTATGTGAAAACCTTGTGAAGACTTACAGAAAACATTTGACCTGTGTCATTGCCAACAAAGGGTATATAACAAAGTATTGAGAAACTTTTGTTATTGACCAAATACTTATTTTCCACCATAATTTGCAAATAAATTCATTAAAAATCCTACAATGTGACTTTCTGGAGAAAAAAAATCTCATTTTGTCTGTCATAGTTGACGTGTACCTATGATGAAAATTACAGGCCTCTCTCATCTTTTTAAGTGGGAGAACTTGCACAATTGGTGGCTGACTAAATAATGTTTTTCCCCACTGTATATATATATATATATATATATATATATATATATATATATATAGTTGTATTTGTTTTCACTTAGCCTACTTAAACACCCGGCTCAAACAAAGAGGGATGCTATGTTAGCTAGCGGGCTAAGGCTATCCAACACTGGAACTCTTCCAAGTCAAGGTAAGCTTTTGGTTTTATTAACTTATTGCCACCGGGCCCCGCCGGTGTAACTGCTAAACTGCTTGCTGCTCACTGTACTGCATGATTGTAGCGGGTTTACTAGCGCGTTAGTTCTAGTAGCTATGTTGACTATGACGTTAATATGGTGACAACGATGTAGGCTGTGTGTAGCGGTTAGTGGTTATGATATGAAGGTTTGGCCTGGAAAGTTTTTTTTGCCTGGTCACAGAAAGCTGTTGTGTTGTGCACTGAAGTCCACAAGCAAAGGTGAGAGGAGAGCCCGTAGATGCGAGAAGGAATACAACGATCAAAGAGATTATGCTTTTTTTATGTGGCTGCTATGAAAGTGAACTGTGTTTGTGTGTGATCATGGGTGTATTAATTCCGACGATTCTGTCGAAAAACGTTTCTTAAACGGAAGCAAACTAAATGAAACGGTAATAAACATACCTGAATTTGTCCAATAGAAACTCTCGTTTGCAACTGTTGGACTAATGATTACACCCTAGATAAGCTAGATGCATGCAATAATGTGCAAGATTGATTACTCAAATTTATCTCGACCTGTGCACCTACGTTGTAAACTTTCATTCATAGGCTAGGTTGTAGCAACTTCATGATGGGTATAGGGAAAATTAGAGTATCATGTAGTAGCATAAACCTATCAATGTTACATTGAGCTGGGTGAATGGAATATGAATGACAGTCATCCAATATGCTGTAATAGAAATAAGGCCATGCTCATAAAAAATAAATAATTGTCCCCCATCATTTTAAACGACACCGGTCACCACTGATCTACAAGTCATTTTGCATGCGGAACAACCTCAGGCAATATCAGTAGCCTAGGCAAACTGCGCACTGTGCGCAGCTTCACGCGCTGACCAAGGAGAGGTAGACGGACAATTCCTGATCTGGCTCATCTACGCGACACCTTCAGCATTCAAATGATTGTAAAATGGCTTGTGCAATATTAGGATTTATTAGTTGAGTGACAACAAATGTAATTTTCTAGGTTATCTTTAATAAATGCGCTGTTGAAAATAGTTTTACTGGAATAAGAGACACAACTCTCATCTGGCTATACAT